TCACTAAAATAGCAGGCATTTAGGGAAAAATTGAGTTAAGTAATGCCTGGTTGATCAATCAGCAGACCATCTATGGCTAGAAGGACATACCATACTTTATAGCTTTCATTGAAATGGAATGTTACTAGTTAAGACATAAAGTCACTATCAGACAAAGAAGTGATGATCAGAACCATGAAAAAACAATAAAATTTTATTGGGGTCATTAAATGTCACTAAACTTTTCAAGTGAGTCCAAATGATTCAATTTCATTAGTTTGCATTTCTTGTCAACATTTTAGAAATAACCAATGGCCTTACCACCTTGTACAATATTCTTATCAGATAGTACATGTACATTTAAATGAATCAAATCTGTTACATTGTCAGAATAAACTCAGATTCTGTATATATGTATGACTCCCCAGGGAAATGGAAAATTTAGACAACCACTGTATTTAACTTCAATGCCAAATAAAAACATAAATGCAGTAGGAAGAATTACATGTATCACTCTTTTGAAATGAAGATATGTCATTGGGACAACTCTACAAACAAGTAAACATGGCAGCAAATGTTGATCTATCAGTTTTGCTATTTAGTGAACACATTGATATCATATCTTCTTCCTGTCTTTGATTTTGGATGGAACAGTTTCTATACAACGAATTTTCAGTCATTAGTCACTCAATAATGAAGTAATTTATTCAACTGAACAAAAAAGTGACAAATACTTGACAAAGCGGTTCTTTGAGTTTAGCTTGAAATTTGCCATTTCAATTTTACCATTTTACTATATTAAGGTACTCTTGATGTGAGAATATTTCTAAAAGTTGATTTATTTTTCCTCTGTCAGATACATTCCATTGCTATGCCAAGTCACTGGCTTGAAATATCCCTGTGACAAGATATCACTTTTTAAAATCTGGTGCATGAGATTCATGAGAAATAACCTGAGTGCAATCATGATAATTCCTAACTGAAAGGATAGACAAAGCTCTTACATGACAACCAGTGGCAGACTCAACCTCCTCCTCTCTTCTTGTTCTTGGGAATGTTTTTTTCTGGTTAAGTACTGTTTATTCAGGCAGTAGAACTTTGTTTTTGGGTCCCCAATCCTATTTTCCGAAATCATAGATATAATTTTCATATAAGCTATATTTTGTCAGAGCTTTAATACCATAATAAATGAAAATGGACCTGTATTAAACATCACTGACAAGTTCAACATTTACTATGAAGCCATTAAGGTAACAACTGTTGTTTTAGCACCAATTACTGAAGTATGTGCCATCAGTGAGGAAACAAATATATGATCCTGAACAAATGTTAATACCTGTCAGTGTACATGTATGCCTTTGTATACGTAAGTAATGGATATGTCTAGTAAGACCCCTCACACACTTCAATACAGGTCAACAAAATTGATTAATATCACTTGGAATGACTCGTTTCTCAATTGTTGTAAAATAAAGTTAAATTTTCAAACTCAAAGTCTCCATAATTGGTAATTCCATCAATGTTTGTGTAGGTCTTATTTGTAAGACAAGGAAGGTAAGTTTTTAATCATGGTGATAAATTTTGATTGCATCTCCACATAAACTTCATAATTAGAAGTAGACTTTTCTTAGATTTTGAAAAAAAAAAAAAAAACAATTTCAAGACATGATGTTAATATTGCAAACTGACCAAAAAATATGGGGAGCTCATCTTTAGATTGTAGTGAGTAGATTGGTACATGGTAAGAAAAAGTGATGTATTTCAGGCAGTTCATTCACAAATGTATTAAAGCAAAGTTACTAAGAATATTTTGTGTATCTTTAGATAAGGTTAGTGTATAAAGGTACTGTCCTGCTGATATTCTATCAAAGCTATTAGCCGAGTTACAATGCTCACACATATTGATTCTATTATCTGATGATGAGACATACAGGATACACAATAGGGAACTTTGACATTATTATTGATATCACTGAAGTAGCAGAGGTGTCATGACAGCAGCATCCCAGACCTCCTCCACAGCAATGTGAATGGCAGTACATTGTATTACAACAGGATACACATAACATCTGCTATCAAAGAAATGTTGATTAGCTAGGAACAAGGGGATAATATCTATCCTAATACACATAGTAACACGTGTGACCAAATTGTTTCTCACAATGCAATGGTAGTTAGACATTGTACCCCAACATTTTACATTATGCAGTATTAGTAAGTGGCAATTCCACAATGTGAACATCTTAAAATAACACCGGAAAATGTCTGTAAGACATGAATGTCCTCACTTCCATGCATACACATGCATGTATCATGGTCTGATGAATTCACAATTGTTAAATGTGACCCTTTAACCTTGACACCAATGACCCAATTAATATGATAAAGTGAAGAAGTTGATGTTATGATACTACATGGAGTGATCACAATTGTCAACCAAATCTGTTCAGAGGCTCTCAAGATAAGACATGGGCAACACATGTGTTAATCCCCTCACCCCCTCCCTCAATATAAAAATCTCATAATTCTATTGTTACAAAATAACATCATGGGAAAAAATGAGCAAGAGGTTCAATTGGCCTGTTGTGTATGTATCAGTCACCTGTTTCTTCTACCTGACAATTAAACTTCAAAATGTTTCTTAAAGTGTCAGATTTTTCGGTGATTTTATGTATCACAACATGTATAAGGTTAGAACTAAGCTAGTAATAACTGAACATTTATTGACAACACATTTAAGGGATAATTTCTTTTGATGGAGAATTAATCATAAGCTAAAGACTCTACATTCTATATTTACTATAGTGCATTAGTAAGCAATCTTTTTAAGAAGTTGTTTCCAGTTTCTTTCATGCCTATCATATTCAAAGTTGGTCCAGATCATTCAACTGAACCAAAGTCTTTGTGTGATTCTAGCCAATTTCAGGTGAAAAGTTACTGTTATTTGGAACCTTTTGAAATTGTTTTCATTTCTTTTTATCAAATCAACATTTGACCAGCAGGACCAAAAACTTCAGTGCTCCATATGATAGCCCTTTTTTCAAAATGTTGCAGATCAAGTATATGTAACAAGCCAGCAGCACATTTCATAGAGTGAGTTAATCAAAGATTACACCACATACAACTCTGTCACTAGTGATGGGAAATTGTTTAAAATATGTAACTGATTATGTGTGTTCCATATTCATATAAAAGTGGATGCCTTTTCTGTTGCAGTAATGTTTTCATCTTTTGTAACTATAAACTAAAATTCCTTACTTACCTAAAATTTGCTTAATAACAAATATAATTGGTAATTATTATCTTTCTTGTGCATAAAATTAATTTTGTTTAACCACAAGAAAATATTACATTAATGTATTGATGATCAATTATAAAATGTTACAATTGACCACTGCATCAGATGATGTTAAACAATTAGTTTACTGATTATATTCAATTGTTGTCCCATAACTACCATTCACCTTGTATTACCGTGATTAGCTACATGAGGGATCTCAGACTTCAGTATGAACCAGACAGATTAGATATGACATTGTGTAATGAATGGAGCAGACCTAAGATATCTCACTAAACTACCTGCTTGAATTGATATGAACATTTCCCTTGCTCTGACATGTGCCGTGATGCTATACTCATGATAGAGTAGTATCACCATTGAAGTAGCATAAGCATGTTGTATATTGATGACATCACCAATTCCAATGCACATTTCATGGAACATTGATGATACAGAGATAAATATGATTTACAACAACATACAATTTGCTACTGCTTTCTTCTCTTTTATTTTTAAGTATACAGGGGGGAAAAAAAATCAAAGATTGATCTGTTCCATGGTTTCTGCAAGCCATGTTGACCAGCCCTAACAATGAAATAGACCCATGCAAGATTACATTAGTATCCTATAGCTAGTAATCCTAGGAACGGGATGGAGGATTCCCCTTTCATAATTGTGATCTTGCGTCAATAATGACACATATCGAGATAGCAACATGAAGGTAGAAATAATTATTTACTTTCTTCTGGGATAGATGGGGATCTCACCCTTGGGGGAAAGATGGCTTTCCAAAACTCTGCAAGCCTCCTGTTTGCCAACTCAATACTCCCCAATGGATCCCATCTCACCTACAAGGAGGGTAAAAGATTCTACTGATCAGTCCTTGTCATATGTCTAAACTTCTGACAATTATACAATCAACATATAAATCCAATGAAGTTAAAAACACAGTAAAGTTTTTAAAAAGAGATTTTGAAAGTCAAGAGTACAGGTCGCCTTATATTCTCAGCTAGTGGGAATTTCCCTTTAATCAAGTGGTAGAGTTACCGGCTAGAAACCACAGGGTCGTTAGTTTGAACCCTAAAGGTGGCAGGGTGTTTTTCATTACTCCTTCCACTTAAATAAGAACAATGACTCACTACATATATAAATGACTAAAACAATAAAGTAGGGCTAAATTATATTTACATGTAAATATATACTGGTGAGACCCGTGTCTAGGTGATGCTGTCAGCTACAATGATCTTCAATTGGTATTGCGATTATATGACCTGTTCAGTCTGTCTGTTGGTGGTTGGATGCAAACTGGCGTCCCGATATGACAATGATATGACTATTACGATAAGGCTAAAGTCGACTGCAGACGCAGGTAGCTCGCTAAATAGGTCTACTACAAACAAAAGATACCGAGGTGTTGCTTTCACCTGTTCACATAGTCTTAGATTAGGTCTACGTTAGAAATAATTCTGCTTGGTACCGTATATGTTTAAAAGCGTGTAAATTTCAATAAATACATACTTAAATCATCGTCCTGAATTTCCCCTGCAATCTGTATATTACGTCTCCTGCTTATAGAAAGCTGGCTTCCAGTTTCATACTAGCCTCGTAGGACTTGTATTCGGCCTTCTGCAGCCTGGGTTAAAATGCATTTTCAGTACGCATGCGCAGTGAAAATTGAATTCTGACTTCCGTCAACAAGTCTCTGAATTGGAAAGTCTGGATGCTATAAAGGCCTACGAATACTCGAGTCTGATCAATCGAATGGATGAAGATGCACTTGAACGGTATTTTACATCGTTCTTTATTACAACAATTCATGGTATTTAAACAAGAATACATATTATAAGCAATGGCTATTTTTTTCACAAAATCACTCGCCATGTATTACAGTAAACAGTGTACTGAAAAGCGTACTGTTTACAGAACACGATATAAATACAAGAAGAACTACAAACACATCCACTCATCCAAATTCAAGATACATACAAATAGTCCTTCTTTCCATACACCATCCTGTCGTGAATCGTTCCCCCACGGTCACCACATTCACCCAGTGCACTGCACTTATACATACATGTATATATGTAATAGCGTCTCGGTTTCAGACCATTATGTATTTCGGAGCGGCCATTTAGTCGAGCTGTATCACATGATCTTTTCACCAGCGAGACCTCGATCCCGAATGATTTTGGTTACTGTTACTTTAATAAATTGAAATGAATTCATACTATAAGATTTATTATTAAGATGCTGATCAGTGAAATACCAGTATTTTGATAAAAAAAAATATCAACAGATATGGCCTCAGTTTGCTTACCTGAAATGACGGACATGAGTACAAAAACATTTTTGTTTATGTGTATACCTTTCCTTAATTAATATAATAATAATATGGTAACATTAATTGAATAATATAATATAATTATGTATAGATTCAATTTTATATTGTTTGGTCCTATTTTTCTCAAATGGGCCATATTTCTTGGTAAACTTCATTTTTATTATAACACAAACTGTTTAAAAAAAAAAGTTACTTCCATCTGTCTGCAACTCACTAGTTCATTCAAATCAGAAATGAGTCATCAAAAGTGATGATTTTAAAATCATAATTTTTCCATTATCAGATGTGCATATCTGGACCTCCATAGTGCATTATTTTATCTCAACTTGGAGGATGTAGGACATGTAAAAATGTATATAAAGAGAGAAATACACAAATTTGCCAATGAAAAGAATACTCGTAATATTTTATGGTGCATGGCTTTTATCAATGTATTTCTTTATTTCTGGATGTGAAACCTGTTACAGCATGGTTGAGATTGTCTCTCTACCAACTGAGCCATCCGGTTGCCAACCATCGGCCCACTACGACTCTATCACATTCCTCCCTCCATTTTCTAAGTTTTCTTTCCCCGAAGTCACAACTATTTATAACCAAGGTTCAGGTATTCCCTTCCCAGATATTCACATACTTAAAACAACGCTTGGTCATAAATACCAAATGGAATAGGAGCAGAAAAATATATGGTCAGACTGGAGTTTCAAGAAAGGTACCCTTTGGTCTCCAGCTGAAGATTATACCTCTTGACAAAAAGGATATTCTGGCTCTGAATTGTTCCTACTTCTATATGTCCCCAAACTGTATACACATTGGTACACTATACAGGGTTCTATATTGTACCTACTTCTATATTGAACTACCTAATAGACAGAACATGGACTTAGACATTCATCAGTGAGACAACAGTTTTTAAATGAAGATTAGAAAAACAAACAAACCTATCCATGATACATTATTGACTTTTGATCTTGAATGATAAATTTTCTTTTTCAGGCTGGCAGTTGAGGAATTACTTAAAGAGACAAAGAGAGGAGCTGAAAGAGCCAAAGAATTTGGTGCATTGGGGTGGTAAGTGTGCAATTATAAATTGATGTCATACAGACTGTACCATATATATACTGCTTCTTTACATAAGAAAAAAAGCACCTTCACTAGATTTCATTGAAGTTTTCATATTAAAATTTGCTAAACAATTTCAAATTATTGAAAAAGTGTATGATACATGAAACAGGGAGATATAAATAACAACATCTTATTTAATGACTCATGTTTGTGACATCACAATCAGTTTCTGACTGGTGAAGCCAATGAAAAATCATTAGTGTATATTATACTAACTTCACACATGCAAACATATAACAATGGTGAATCAACTGGATAATAGCCTTATTATGTGATGTCACAAAATGTCACAACTGTTTATGTGGAAGTTCAACTTGTAGTTAATCTTAGAAATATATCTTTATCATTTTAATTACAGCTGTATTGCCATGGGTATTGTTAGCTTGCCTTGTTTTCTGTTGTGATATAGGCAGAAGCCAGCTGTTCCCTCAACAAACAAGAGATTCTTGACCAATATGATTCTGAGTTCTGTGAATGACTCGAATAGGAAAAAGAGAAAACATTCCCAGGATCTCAATTTACCCAGGGGGGATAACTCAGAAAATAAATCAACAGGTCACAGTGACAAAGATTCCAGACAGTATCAATCTGATAAACATCAACATAAAAAGAAGAAGAAAAAGCATGAGCACTCCGAAGAAAATCCTAAAAATAAACATAAACATTCTTCAAAGAAACATAAGTCTCGTCATAAACATAAGAAACACCACAGACACAAAGACAAGGTGAAGGATTGAGAATAAACAGAAGATGAGAGAGTTTGTGAAAATAGTTTGTGGGAGTAAGAGATGAAAACTGGACAAAAATGAAGGAGTCTGTGCACACGAGTGTTAGAGAGGAAGATGGGAAAAAAGTGAAGGAGTTTGTTAGAGTTAGAGAGGAAGACAGGACAAAAGTGAAGGAGTTTGTTAGAGTTAGAGAGGAAGACGGGACAAACGTGAAGGAGTTTGTTAGAGTTAGAGAGGAAGACAGGACAAACGTGAAGGAGTTTGTTAGATTAGAGAGGAAGACAGGACAAAAATGAAGGAGTTTATGGGAGTTAGAGAGGAAGACAGGACAAAAGTGAAGGAGTTTGTTAGAGAGGAAGACGGGACAAAAGTGAAGGAGTTTGTTAGAGTTAGAGAGGAAGACGGGACAAAAGTGAAGGAGATTGTTAGAGAGGAAGACAGGACAAAAATGAAGGTGTTTGTTAGAGTTAGAGAGGAAGACAGGACAAAAATGCCGGTGTTTGTTAGAGTTAGAGAGGAAGGCAGGACACAAGTGAAGGAGTTTTTTGGAGTTAAAAGGGGAAGACAGGAAAAGATGAAGTGTTGTGGTATTTAGAGAGGAAGACAGGACAAAAATGAAGGAGTTTATGGGAGTTAGAAAGGAAAACAGGACAAAGTGAAGGAGTTTTTTGGACGTCAACAAGTATATTGACAGAGGCAATGAGTTAAGGTAGTGTTAAATTCATTCATAATGAAAACAAATGGTTAGGTGTTTAAGAGATGAGAAATAGACATATTAAGGAAAGAACCTTACCATTATTAACTAAAATAAGACAGTAGCTAGTATTTAGATTCCATAGCAAATGGTAAATCTGGATACAGGTATGAGATGTGTAATCATTGTATGTTTAGTATTAGATGGTGAATCTGGATACAGGTATGAGATGTGTAATCATTGTATGTTAATTGTTAGATGGTAAATCTGGATACAGGTATGAGATGTGTAATCGTTGTATGTTAATTGTTAGATGGTAAATCTGGATACAGGTATGAGATATGTAATCATTGTATGTTTAGTATTAGATGGTAAATCTGGATACAGGTATGAGATGTGTAATCGTTGTATGTTTAGTATTAGATGGTAAATCTGGATACAGGTATGAGATGTGTAATCATTGTATGTTAATTGTTATATGGTAAATCTGGATACAGGTATGAGATATGTAATCATTGTATGTTTAGTATGTTTAGTATTAGATGGTAAATCTGGATACAGGTATGAGATGTGTAATCGTTGTATGTTTAGTATTAGATGGTAAATCTGGATACAGGTATGAGATGTGTAATCATTGTATGTTAATTGTTATATGGTAAATCTGGATACAGGTATGAGATGTGTAATCATTGTATGTTTAGTATTAGATGGTGAATCTGGATACAGGTATGAGATATGTAATCATTGTATGTTTAGTATTAGATGGTGAATCTGGATACAGGTATGAGATGTGTAATCATTGTATGTTAATTGTTATATGGTGAATCTGGATACAGGTATGAGATGTGTAATCATTGTATGTTAATTGTTATATGGTAAATCTGGATACAGGTATGAGATATGTAATCATTGTATGTTTAGTATTAGATGGTAAATCTGGATACAGGTATGAGATGTGTAATCGTTGTATGTTTAGTATTAGATGGTAAATCTGGATACAGGTATGAGATGTGTAATCATTGTATGTTTAGTATTAGATGGTAAATCTGGATACAGGTATGAGATGTGTAATCATTGTATGTTAATTGTTAGATGGTAAATCTGGATACAGGTATGAGATGTGTAATCGTTGTATGTTAATTGTTAGATGGTAAATCTGGATACAGGTATGAGATGTGTAATCGTTGTATGTTTAGTATTAGATGGTAAATCTGGATACAGGTATGAGATGTGTAATCGTTGTATGTTAATTGTTAGATGGTAAATCTGGATACAGGTATGAGATATGTAATCATTGTATGTTAATTGTTATATGGTGAATCTGGATACAGGTATGAGATGTGTAATCGTTGTATGTTTAGTATTAGATGGTAAATCTGGATACAGGTATGAGATGTGTAATCGTTGTATGTTTAGTATTAGATGGTAAATCTGGATACAGGTATGAGATGTGTAATCGTTGTATGTTTAGTATTAGATGGTGAATCTGGATACAGGTATGAGATGTGTAATCATTGTATGTTTAGTATTAGATGGTGAATCTGGATACAGGTATGAGATGTGTAATCGTTGTATGTTTAGTATTAGATGGTGAATCTGGATACAGGTATGAGATGTGTAATCATTGTATGTTTAGTATTAGATGGTAAATCTGGATACAGGTATGAGATGTGTAATCATTGTATGTTAGTATTAGATGGTAAATCTGGATACAGGTATGAGATGTGTAATCATTGTATGTTAGTATTAGATGGTAAATCTGGATATTGAGATGTGTAAATTGTATGTTTAGTATTAGATGGTAAATCTGGATACAGGTATGAGATGTGTAATCATTGTATGATTTTGATAAATATGAATACAGTATGAATTCCTTTTAACATAATCTCCACTTCACCTATTGAATATGTATAGTCAAACATTCAGAAACTGTTTTTGTTTTGATGTCAGATACCAAACAAATGCTTCCATTATTTATTAATTTGACTAAAAAATAGATAACCTACAAGGCAGCAAAATTGCATGATGTTAAAGAGTTAAATGCATTGTATTAATACCATTTGGAAAAGTGGCACTGTGGATATTTCTTCCAGATTCTGATTAGAAATTGGTCTAGGAATAGAATTGATTAAATTTGTTTATATTGCCAACCCCACCCACTGTATATTGTATTGTTTAAATGTATCAAACAGAGTTACCTCCCTTCAATTTTCATTGACACCTGTTGATATGGAAGAAGTATGTTCAAAATAGTTTTCATTGAGAAACATATCGTAATGTGACATGCTATCTGAAGATTTCATCAAAAGCATAATAAATCAGTATTTTTGACAAATTGTTTTGGATTTTGATTTGAAGTTTAATATACATTGTAAAAATAAAGCTTACACTTTGTGAAAAATGAAGCATGATGATAAATACACTATGCATATAAAGTGACAATGTTGGACCACAGTAATGGTACTGTGGCAGCAGTACTGACGTTCTGCCTGAGGCCACCTTTTATTGTGTGTTTCTTGCCCTTACTTAGTACATTCTCTGAATGAGGGCCCACTTTGTGCCCAGTCACTGTGCATCAGTGATGGATTTCCACTTGTGTTGCTCTTCATCCACACATCAAAATGTTTTCTGAGCTGCTTTGTACGTGTATGCACTGGTGTTCATTTCTATCCCTCCATGTGCGAGAGACAGTTCACCACAAGGACTGTTTAAGGAAAAAACCCAGCTACTGCTTCCTCCTGGGAAGCTCCAGGTTGACTGTCCTAAATCCCCTCATTGTTCAATCAGCAAGGTTTCTTACTTGGCCTGCATCCTCCTGGGAATTGTTTTGGATTTTGTTGACTGAATATCCTAAAAATCCCCTCATTGTTCAATCAGCAAGTTTCTTACTTGGCCTGCATCCTCCTGGGAAGCTCCAGGTTGACTGTCCTAAATACCCTCATTGTTCAATCAGCAAGGTTTCTTACTTGGCCTGCATCCTCCTGGGAAGCTCCAGGTTGACTGTCCTAAATCCCCTCATTGTTCAATCAGCAAGGTTTCTTACTTGGCCTGCATCCTCCTGGGAAGCTCCAGGTTGACTGTCCTAAATCCCCTCATTGTTCAATCAGCAAGGTTTCTTACTTGGCCTGCATCCTCCTGGGAAGCTCCAGGTTGACTGTCCTAAATCCCCTCATTGTTCAATCAGCAAGGTTTCTTCTTTAGCCTCATTTCTTGAATCATAATGTTTCCATCTGCCCACTAGTCTGTTCTAATGTGCAGTTATCTTCCATGTCTGTGGTAATATAAGAAACTTATCTAGCCTTAGATATTTTCAAACCTTCTGTAGAATAAGTGTTGAACATTATTTAAAATGTACCCTGAACCTCCAATCTCCTGACTGATTCACTCTATCAGTAGATGTCTCCTTGCTTATGACTTCTTTCTCATCCTCATTCACAACTAGGATGTAATTGGAGTACTCTCTTGTGTCTGTTTACTCTTTAATTCCTTTTAGATTGTGTCTATCTGCTTGTGATGCTATGTGTAAAATCCTCTCAACAGAACACACTAGTAGTATAAAGATAACACATGGGTCAGTGTTCTTCTCTTCCCATAATTGTTGTGTTGTGGTACATCTTCAATATTCAACCTATAAAACTCTGGTTGTGTTGGAAATATATAAGTACATTCTCAGTAAGCACTGTAGGTGGAACACCAGGTCTTTCCTGATAAATGACCTGGAAATTATTCTTGTTTCTCTTGTGTCCTGGACTCTGGTCTTCAAGTTTTTTTGACAAAGTTTGTCAACTCACCTCCACTAATGTGATCGTATTTCTTTCCTTATTGATAATGTTCGTCACTCCATTGTGTTGGGATTCCTAAAGTAGCATTTTTCTACCATGATCTTGCCTTTTTATATAGTACCTTTTGTTACTATATGCCTCCAGCTTCATTCACTTTTTTTCTTGGTTATATTTTTATCATCATAAAAATCTACCAGTGCTAACATTATATTTTCATCATTAAATTCCTCCTAGGTAATTACTACCTGATTTTTCTGCAATTCACCATGATTTCGATTCACACCTGGAAGCCCACAGAAACATTTTTTATAATTTTTGTCTGTTAGCCGTGCCATTCAGGATTTGGCAACCATTTTCATTTTACTGGGTTTCCAGTGAATAATGTCGAAGTTTAACTCGAAATCAACGGAAGTTTTCAGGTACTTTGTAATATCAGAGGGCTTTACTTATGGTATCTGGAGTGAATCCGTATTTATCTAGACCAACCATCCTCTCTCTATACGTAACGTTTTTCTTCTAGAGATTTTAATGATGCTGGGGTGCTTAATGGCCCTTAAGAATCGGCCTTTCTGAACCAACGTTTTAGGGCTCTTGTAAGTAATCTTGTTAACATTTCGGTACTTTCTTTGTTATTGTTGTTTTTACTACTTTGACAGATACCGTGACATTTTTAACGGTGTCTGTTCTTTTCATGTTTGTTTCTTTTTCATGTAACGATCCTGTATCTGACATATCCTAGTTTCAAAAGGCACGTCTATTCATCACCGTGCTTTTTCTCATTCTCTTTACAGCATTGCAATGTTCCTGACTACACTTTCCACTGTTGCTATGGGATAAAATTATCACTATCTTTGCTCTGCCGAGATATTCTCTCTATTCGATGAAAACTTTCCATTCTTTCCGTGAATAACAACTTGCTGTCTCGCTTCCCCTTATCAATCAGTCACAGTTCTTTTGATAATTCTATCTCCATCAATAGGGTCTAGATCATAACATTTGTTTTGTATTATTCATAACGTATTTCACGTTCTCCAAATCTATCAACCATAGTGCATCGATCTGTCTTTGAACGTAACCAGTCTGCGATATGTATAAAAAATTTTCAGGACATTGTTGAAAATCTATTACTTATCATCAGGTCCTGACAACTGCATTTTGTGCTTCCTTGGGTCTGTCGCTGGATCTGGCTTTGTCTCTGTTAGACATTACCTACAGATGTGTGTACACATTTGAACAATGGAAAATAGGTACAGTTCTCATGTTCTCAAGAAAGACAAACAAAACAAAACGATGAAATAACAAACATGACGCTCACAGACATCTTCTGGTTAATGAGCTAAACGATGAAAAAAACTCACACAAATCGTCTATGATACATCATTTGCATGCTTTACTTGTCAATGTGTACAGATTTGTTGACAACATATTAAAAATTCACACACATGGACTCAACTATAACTATAGGACGAATCAGACATGATTGATAACAAGTGACGGAAGACCTGACAAATGTTTATACTCTATGGAATGCTGACTTATATAACATATATTTATCATACTGTAATCATATAACTACAATTGTAAGCAACTTGCTCAGTATCATAAGGTATGTCATTTTATAGCCTGTAGTAAGTATAGGTAAGGATCTAACTCAATTTGTAGGTAATTTATATCGAATCGCAAGGTATATATCATTACACAGCATACTGTATAAGGTATTTAACCTACACAGTCTGTCTAATATTTACTTATAGATCTTGTATCATACGATAAGTATCTTATATTAAACTGCACGTGACTTTTCCTATAGCACACAGTATATATGATTATGTCCAGGACCATCTACTAACTGAAAAATTATATTTATTTTACCGAATTTTATAATTTCGCTAGTATTTAAGATTATGTAACTATATTTACCACTGGCAGTGTAGGCACATTATATTGATAATCTGAAATATTTTTGAGATATTGGAAATATTGGGGATGTATGACATCAAAAAAGGGACAAAAAAGAACGATGGCAAGTCTGTTTTTGTGAACATTATACCACGTGTATGTTGCAATCCGTCTGAAAGTCTACCTGGACTTTCCCTTCAACCTTTCTGCCAAATCTTCCCAACCTAGACTTTTCCACCTAACCTTTCCGACCAAATCTTCACAACCTAGATTTTCCCCACTCAACCTTTATGACCAAATCTTTCCTACCTAGATTTTCCCATCCAACCTTTCTGACCAAATTTTTCCTATCTAGACTTTCCCACCTAACCTTTCTGACCAAATCTTTTCTACCTAGACTTTCACACCCAACCTTTCCTACCTTATCCTTCCTATCTAGATTTTTCCAACCAACTTTTCCGACCAAATCCTACCTCGACTTTTAGTTTTTATTTGTTTTGTTTTTTGTTTTTTTGTTTTGTTATTTTTTTAAGAAAAGACAAAATACTTTCCGACGTTGACATCATGTTAACTTACCCAATAGGTGTACACACATGCATATTTTATCTTTGAAATCTTATTAGATGTTATTGTTAAAACATAAAGATAAAGCGTTTTGATAATAGTCTTTTGATCCATTCGTATCTTTATTCATGACATTAAAATATAAATATTTCGTAAAAAAAGTTATTACAATGAATAATTATGAACAATATATGTATATATTGCTAGGTTGTCAGTCACCAGGAGAGAATAAGGACAGATACATAACCTGTAACATAAACGATATTTCGTTAAATACATTACAGGTGTATTACCTTACTGTACACATAATAATGTAGTCAAATGCCTACCTCGGAAACGGATAATGGATATTACCCAGTCAACTACAAGCCTTGCATACACAATATTAAAATAAGTAATTTCTCTAAACGTTTTACAGGTACAAATAACATAAATACGAGTATAACATAAATAACCACAAAATACCGGCATATAATACCTGGATATCCAGGAGTTCATTGTTCATTAGTCGTGACACGTGACAGAACGAAAGAAATCATGGAGTGATAGACTTTAGTCTAATACCGCTCCACCCCCACCCCCTAAAAAAAAAAAAAAAAAAACCACCGTATTGTTTCCATTTAAAAGAACGTATTCTGACTAAAATGATGCTTCGGGGTTTCCACCAAGCCGGAAAACGAGACTCTTAAAAAGATACTTACATATCATAATTCCTATTTGATATAAAAGCAGCACATGGCATACACCATGTCGACTTGACACAGTCAGAACTCGTTTTCCGACATCAATTTGTAAACCTTTTAAAAGAGGTGAGTTTTTTTCCGGTAACGAAAATTCATAATTTTAAACAGACGCTCTAACGTGGACATGATTTGATACTACAAAGATTTTAAAGCTTGAAAAAAAAAATAGAAAATTCGCCGAAAATTCGGATAGAAATACAAAAAGAATATCAATTGATACACTATTCCTTGTAAATAATTCCCGCGCTGTTTGCTTCTGACGATCCTAAAAGAAAATGTATATATTTTTATTGTGAATGACGTAAGTAGAGATATTTCAAGATAGTATAAATTTGGCATTATATAATTAAAGGCACTGTAGGCTGTTAAAAAGGACTAAACACTTTCGTTCATGTCTGTACGATGATTCAGTATAGCGCTATATATACATGTACTGTGATTAGTAACTGTTTAATTTATCCGCTGTGACATTTACCTGTGAATTTCGAACTAATTGATATATCATACAATATATTACAGTTGAAATCAAAATACTCTATTGTAAAACGACATATTGTAACAAACTGACAAAATATATAATATACCTCGCTATGATATCTATCTTACTGATTAAGCAAAGTTAAAATATCTGTTTATATGGTTGATAATGATAAGACATCAAACCCAATCATGGTGAATTAAAAACAAACCAGAGTTTTACAACAAATGCAACTTGATTGAATTAAAGGACCAGGTGTTCCGGTGTTTGATCTTTATTCAGCACGTATCCTAGATGTGTGTGCTATTCAAACGCAGTGAAAGTATGAAATGTAATTCTAAAGAAATAGAAACGATCTGAATTGTCAGCAAAAGATGAAATGTGTCTAACATTTCACTTGGAACGTACGGATTTTAAGAAACTTATTGAAAATTATGTAAAGTTTAAACTAAATGTGTTCCAAAACGTCTGAAACCTACTTACACACTGTAGTGGACTGGAGCCCAGGCGATAAACCTTATGATAACATTAGCAAACATATCTATTCTTCTAGTGGCATTGAAAACATATTGTATCACACCATGAATTGGGTCATACATATACATATGGTACATCTTGTTAAAGAGTGACCAGACTGTATAACAATGAATAACGAAAACGTATGTACAGGATTAAGACACCGCTGTTGTATGTGAGTATTCATCAGTTTGTGATTGACATAAAAACCGTCCCTCAGATGAATGCATGCAGAAGTTTCCATTCTGTGTAACACAAAACTGACGAACAACAATGATATACATTCCCGTCGACATAGTCACACAGAAACAATGCTTCTCGATTCCCGTCGACATAGTCCCACAGAAACAATGCTTCTCGATTCCCGTGACATTCTCTGTTCCCGTCGACATAGTCACACAGAAACAATGCTTAACTGTTCCCGTCGACACGGTTACTCACAATCAATATAATTACAATATAATGCTTCGCTTTTCCGTCGGCATGATCTCCCTCAAACAATACTTCCAGGTTCCCGTCGACATGGTCACCTTCAAACAATGCCTCTCGGCTCCTTTCGACATGGTCAGTCACCAACACTGATTTTCGGTTCCCGTCAACATGATCTCCCACAAATACTATAACGCTTCTAGGTTCCCGTCGACAAAGTCTGCCACAAACAATGCTTCTAGGTCCCCGTCGACATGGTTACATACGAACAATACAATATAACGCCTTTCGGTTCCTGTCGACAAAGCCACCTACAGAAAATGCTTCTTGGTTCCCGTCGACAAAGTCTGCCACAAACAAAGCTTCTAGGTCCCCGTCGACATGGTTACACACGAACAATATAATATAACGCCTCTAGGTTCCTGTCGATATAGCTACCTACAAAAATGCTTCTTGGTTCCTGTCGACAGTCTGCCACAAACAATGTAATATAAGTATTCTCGGTTCTGGTCGACATGGTCTTCCACAAACAATACTTCCGGTTCCCGTCGACATGGTCAGTCACCAACACTGATTCTCGGCTCCTGTCGACATAGTCTGCTATAAACAATGTAATATAACTATTCTCGGTTCTGGTCGACATGGTCTCCCACAAACAACATTTCTCGGCTCCTGACGACATGATCTCCCACAAACAACATTTCTCGGCTCCTGACGACATGATCTCCCACAAACAACATTTCTCGGTTCCCGTCGACATGATCTCCCACAAACAACATTTCTCGGCTCCTGACGACATGATCTCCCACGAACAACATTTCTCGGTTCCCGTTGACATGATCCCCCACAAACAACATTTCTCGGTTCCCGTCGACATGATCTCCCACAAACAACATTTCTCGGTTCCCGTTGACATGATCCCCCACAGACAATGTTATATAACTAGTCTCGGCTCCTGTCGACATAGTTAGCCACCAACACTGATTCTCGGCTCCTGTCGACATGCACACATCCCCATATCATCTTCCATGACACGTCGTGGATTTCCACAAAGGACCCTTTCGTTGTCAGTATTACGTTGGATATGATCAAACGAACACAGAGCTTCTTTTAAGAGAATATATTAGCCTTTATATTCCACATGAGGAGATCTATGATTCTTCAAGTGAATTTTTCATACCAAAGTGTTATTTGTACTAAATAATATGTAACGATGTTTATTAAATATTAACCACATATATGTACAATTGCACATACCCAATGTTACGAAGTTTGTGAATTGATCACTTTGTTACTTCACAAAAACATAAGACAAAGAAGTGATCAAATCTCGTCGTCCGAGTCCTGTTCGTACATATCGGGTTGTGTGTTTAATGATTTGTAGGCACTATTGCGGGGGTTCGGATGTGGCCCCGTCACGACATGGGTGGGTACTAGACTGTCCGTCGTGGTTGTCTCCATGTACACACCAGCGTTCAACATCGATGACATTTGAGAGCGTTTAGCTCGTCTTAGTTCCTCCCTCTCTCTGAAACAGCGGAAAGAAAATAATATTACTTACGATTCATTCCTTTATTCCACCAGCATTACAAATTCTTTTATTTCCTTTTTTCATTTTCTTTTCAAAGATAACTTTGTTTAGTAAAAAGTTTTAACGATCCAACCAAGATTCAACTTTGTGAATTATGAACATCTTACGAGGAGACGTTTCGGATTTCGTTTGTTTTTTTAGCTGACTTGGTCCAAAGGAACGATGAGATCAGGTTTTAATAAACTCGCTACTAGTCATAAACAACTTTACGCATTTTGACCAAATATGATCTGAAACATATTTGGATGGAGGGAATCCGTTTTGTAGAAAATGTGGGCCATGGTCCCCCGGAGAGGGAGGGGCGCAGTCCAATAGGGTAAGTATATCATTTTTTTTTAAAAGCTGGCTCTTCCCATGGGAATGATTGAATTTTGTCCAACTTTGGTCTGAAGTATCCTTGTGTGAAGGGGTCTCGATTTGTATAAATGATGGGCGTAGGCCCTCTTAGACGGGCTGGGATGGGACTAAATAGGGGAAATAGAGCAAATTCCCTAAAATCCTACTCATCTTGTGGGGATACTTGTTCTGTCCCAATTTAAACAAAACCATCGTATGGTGCAGGGGAATCAATTTTGTATAAACAGTGGGTCTCGGATGAGGCTCAACAGGGGAAATAAAATGAATACTTTTTTGAAGGAATACTTGGAATTTGTTCCAATTCAGTTTGAAGTATCCTCTGATGAAGAGGGGCAACAGGGACGGGCAGAGTAAGTCACAAAAGGGCCCAAGACACAAGACAGCAAATTCATAAAAATTATTCTTATTCTTTAGGACTGATTGAATGTTGAAAAAGTATGACCTTTGGGAATAAACAGCAAAGCAACAGATTGTATTCAAGTTACCCATGGGTAAATCAACTACCGCAAGGTCCATCTTCAATTTACTCCTATCTGTTTGACAGACATAATGCCAGGACTATTGACACAATGCTTATGATCTCATTTTTGTTTTTTAGCATTTGTCTTTGGATTTTCGTTAGTCGCTTTCCAGGTTTCAAAATGTACTGCCTTAGCATCATTGACGAAGGACGTAACGGCAGTATGATGCAAATCATCATCCAGATTACAGGTTGTACACACAATGGCAATGAAAGTTTAGTTTTGAAAATATGAAATAAATAATTTTGGTGCTAATGCATTTATCAACCTGAAGTTTAATATTTCATTCGATCAATTTTGATTTCTCCTGTCTCTTCCTAAGTTTCATAAGTAAAACCCTGAGAATCACTGTCTGAATGGTCGAAACAGCTGTATGATGCAGATTAATTGATCATCTGACACTAACTAATTGTTATTTGAAAGGAGCTAATTACTTGTGTGTCTTTTGTGTAATCGTAGTAAGCATCAAATTCATTGTATTGTAAAAGCGGCTCCAACATTCACAATTATCAACTTCTTTCGATGACGTGTAAATAGAACTTACCTTTTGTGTTTGCGGTACATGAAAGCGGCTATACCCAAAATAATAAGACATACAACAATTCCGAATACAGCCCCGGCAATGGCACCTGTGGGGAAGAGAACACAAGTAAAAACAATATGGAATACAGCCCCGGCAATGGCACCTGTGTGGAAGAGAACACAAGTAAAAACAATATGGAATACAGCCCCGGCAATGGCACCTGTGTGGAAGAGAACACAAGTAAAAACAATATGGAGTAAACCCCGGCAATGGCACCTGTGGGGAAGAGAACACAAGTAAAAACAATATGGAGTAAACCCCGGCAATGGCACCTGTGTGGAAGAGAACACAAGTAAAAACAATATGGAATACAGCCCCGGCAATGGCACCTGTGTGGAAGAGAACACAAGTAAAAACAATATGGAATACAGCCCCGGCAATGGCACCTGTGGGGAAGAGAACACAAGTAAAAACAATATGGAATACAGCCCCGGCAATGGCACCTGTGGGGAAGAGAACACAAGTAAAAACAATATGGAATACAGCCCCGGCAATGGCACCTGTGGGGAAGAGAACACAAGTAAAAACAATATGGAATACAGCCCCGGCAATGGCACCTGTGGGGAAGAGAACACAAGTAAAAACAATATGGAATACAGCCCCGGCAATGGCACCTGTGTGGAAGAGAACACAAGTAAAAACAATATGGAGTAAACCCCGGCAATGGCACCTGTGTGGAAGAGAACACAAGTAAAAACAATATGGAGTAAACCCCAGCAATGGCACCTGTGGGGAAGAGAACACAAGTAAAAACAATATGGAGTAAACCCCAGCAATGGCACCTGTGGGGAAGAGAACACAAGTAAAAACAATATGGAGTAAACCCCGGCAATGGCACCTGTGTTGAAGAGAACACAAGTAAAAACAATATGGAATACAGCCCCGGCAATGGCACCTGTGTGGAAGAGAACACAAGTAAAAACAATATGGAATACAGCCCCGGCAATGGCACCTGTGTGGAAGAGAACACAAGTAAAAACATTATGGAGTAAACCCCAGCAATGGCACCTGTGTGGGAAACACAAGTAAAATTTAGACAGGAAATTCAAAATTGAATATATACATAATGCTAAGATATTCTTACGTAACTAATGGTTAGAAAACAGTGTGAAGTTTCGATGAAGACTACACTGTGTGAAATGGGAAATTACAAGACTTTCCGGCTGATTCCAATACCAACTCGTACACTGTATACCTCAGCGTAAATACACTTCACAATGGCCAATCAAATTAGTTATTATATAACAGCATCTATTAATTATTTAATGCCATACATATATCATCTTGTTAACGAAAGTTTATTTAGTGAACGGTCGACTAGATATCTGATATATTTGATATGTCTATACTAGTTTTTGCATTCATATTATAGCGCATCGTATGCACATGAGTGTAGCTCTTCCAGGGGTGAGAAATGGCAGATTGAACAGAGTTGCCTCCCTTCCCAAATGTGTACACATTTGTTACACCTCGCCTCGATTACATTGGATTTCATCATAGGTTAGATGACCTGAATCGGCCGAGGTGTTCCTGTTGATGTACCGAGTAAAGGAAATCTCGTTTTATCATCTCTTTGAAAAAATAAAGATATCAAGAGGTTTGAAAACTTAGATAACAATTGCCTTCCTTATATGAACGAACCACAAAGCTGTGGTGCACATGGTAACCCGGTTTTACTTGATTACTACAAGTTTTCAGACCATCCTAAGGTAAATGCAACACATACATGGGAAGGGAGGTAATCAAGCCCATTCATTGATTTTGATTCACAAATTTTAGTTTTAAAGAGATATACTAGGGTCCCTACGCTTTTATCAATTTATTCATTTATTTATTTAAATGCATTAACAGATAAAATTAATCGACAAAGAAGCCTGTGTTTGTTATGGATTGGTTTTATATCCAATATAGCTTGGCGGAAACCAGGGTAGAAACCTTCACTTTGGTACGGTGACGTCAGAACACTTCACGAATTATATAGTCTTCATCTAGGAGGAAACCACTTATTTATTAATTTATCGTTTAATGAACGATGATTTCCATGTTAGTGGATATGTTCCCTAAAACAATTACTTTGTGTGACCTGTCATTGAGATATGAATCAAATCATGTAATGGTATTTGAATCACATTTATATAATTTAGCTTCTCATGTATCACAGCATGGTCTAAGAAAATAACACCATTTACAAGAAAATATCAATATCATTTACCCATGAATTAACTATTTTCTTTATCAATATTTACCATTAAATAAATGAAGCTCCTTGTGATTATAAACTTTCCGTTTGATACGTTGGAATGGGTATGCATAACCCCTTAATCTCAGGAAGTAGAACATCCCGTTTTGTCTAATCGGATACACCCTAAGCTGTTCCGTCTTCCTGGCGGGTATTGATTATCCTCTATACTGAGTACAGAATTTTCGGCTATTCGTGATGTGATTAACTGATGCATGCTGTACAGCTACCAGTGTTTGGCGTCCTATTTAGCGCCAAGACATACTAACTATTGTTCATCACACGAGTTCATCCTGAGACACTATAATAAAATTAGTTGGGTTTGAGAAATTAAAGAATTAAATCAAATCTTTCATGACATTTTGTAAAAAAATATTTTTATCTGCACAATAAAAAGTAACTGTGCTGACGTAATCTCTATGGAATCGATAATTACTGTACATGTGGTGCCAATGCAATGGCTGTCTTTTACTTTATATTTACTGTGATCTCTCTGAAAGTTATCATCATGATGAGGTTGTAGTATTTCTCATTCACCAGATTTTCGTGGGAAGCTTTGTTCGTCAACAGCTAGGATGACATGAAGGAGCTATACAATGAACAATTGCTAAGGCTTTATCTCGGGGTCTAGTCAAGGCACTGTGTACATTGTTTAAGACTTTATTTCAGGGTCTAGTCAATGTGCTTGCAGACCTTGTCCCTTGCTACATATAGTACTGATGGTTTTGGAATAAGAACAAGGAATTTGCATACAGACTAACGAGAAACATGAAAGATATCAGAGAATTCTTCATCCTATATGAAAACAGGAACCTTTGTATTCCTGTCACCTTTTTTTTAATTAATTAACGAGATGGTAGATGGGAAATCTAAGGTTTACTACGCACGGTATATAAAAATCTTATGTATAAGAGATCGGTATACACCGATTTATTCCTATATCAGTTGCTTTACACTACAATCTCTATATTGATCAAAACTAACTTTTCACGTGTTTGGTTCCGTGGGTTAGATATAAAACACAACGAGTTCAATATTTACCAAAACATTGACACATACGTGTGAACAGTATGGACTTTTATTCCCTTTAACATACTATTGGATCGATTTGATGGGTTATTTACGATCCGTGTCTCCATTCCTCAATATTAAAACATCTATATACCTGCTTCAGTAGGGGTTTCCTGACTTTCGTCTCCCATCGTCGATCGCGGGGTTGTGGAAATAGGTACTGAAAAACATAGATAACATATAATTGTTTAAAATTCCAATTGTTTAATTGTACTTGAGCTTATTAACAAGTATCATGATATTTGATGATAAGGAAACAAACGAGCAATGGAAATATAAGACAAAAATAAAACATTAACATAGGATTCGATCCAACTTTATACTAATGATAGGATAAGTCTCTTCGTTACTATCAAACTTTTGATGTACCCTATGAAATGACCTATACATTTTGTATCCTGCAACCGCCATTGTCGGAATACACATGCCACTTATATATTTGCTGTATTCGGCAGTGACGGAAAATAGCTGTATTTTAGCACGAGCATAAATTCTTTAATTCATTACTCTCTGAATTAACATAAAAATGACATTTCATAACATAAATACTTGTTGAAATAAGCGATGTTATATGTTGTAAAGAACGAGTTTATTTGCGAAAATTCATAAAATCGTTGTCATATCTGCTGAAGTTTTGAATCATATTTCTCCGCGGAGCAATTAATTTGGCCTACGTCATCATACAAAATTCAGCGTTATTTCGTAAACGTCAGGAATAAAATATTAAACAACAGAACTTTTAAAGCTTTGAAGGTCTTATTTTCAATCAGTGTTGCAGGATAAATAGAATACATGGTTGGTGTCTTAAAATATAAGCTGCATTTTTCTCGGGATAGACAGACAAAAGTGACTTGCCAGAGGCACTTTTGTCACCCTTCCCAAAATACATGTACAGCTGATATTTTAAGACACCGATCATGCATTTTCAAAGGAATTTCTATTTCTGAAAATGTCATCTATCGTTGCTTTTAAAAAACTATAACCACTGTTTAACACCAATGAGTTACTATTTGGGAATATAAACATTAAGATTATCTATAACCTAATCTTATTGATTGACATGGGATTTATGTAACCTGGTGTGGTGTTGTACTCTGTTGTAGACGTGTTTACTTTTTACTATATACCATTCTCTCCATTAATTTAAGTAAAATTATTTCAAATTCCCTCTTTATACGGAGTGATCCTCTAGATCAATTCATTCATTCTTTGGTTTCTTTAGATGTTATTACAGACATCGGATGTCTTTTTGAAAAGTGATTGCCCTCTATGTATGTATGTATGTATGTATGTATGTATGTATGTATGTATGTATGTATCTATCTATCTATCTATCTATCTTATCTATCTATCTATATACTTTAGTAGTAGTAGTTTAGTTGTTTTCTATTGGTATTGTTCCAGCACAAGAAAGTGAGTGAATGGGCCACTTCGGCTAACGAGAAGTCTAGTAAAGCAATATATATATATATATACACGTATATATATACATTCAATCATTTCCATTATATGTATCATCTTCAATGTGGCAGTCAGTCACGTGATCGTCGTTTGTGGGAAAACTCAACGTAAATTATTTCCTTAGCTTTGACCTCGTTAGTTTGTTTGGGATTACATACCTAAGTTGTTTACTACATACAGTGTAATCATTTACAAGAAACGGATATTATGATCAGCTGTGGTAGACCTCCTGGTTTATCATACATACACTCAACTACCTACGTGAATATAGCCACAAAATCAGCTGTTTACCTACCTGTAAGCGTACTGGCATTCATGGATGATTCTCCGCCCCCTCCCAGCAAATCTTCAAGATAACGTAGAGCCATTTTACACAATAAACAAAGATGGTTGTTTTTGAACAATCACTAATAAAGCTATTGTCAACGTGGAACATACATGATGTTAATACACGAATGATGTCATTTCATTGTAAGTTTTGATTGGAGTTTCGTTATCTGCATACTTACAGTCCAACGTTCACATCTCTATGTTGACTTCAGGTAATTCTAGACCATGTATATGAGCTGTACACACCACACACACACACATATATACCTGATGAAACGGCGGTTGTTAAATGACAGGTACGGAGTGTTTAACAAACAGACTACATACGTACTGAGCGTAGGGAAAACAGTGACAACAGTTACCCACTATAAAGACCGGAAAGATAATAATGTGAGTGACATATATTCAATAAAGTTCCTACACACGTTAACTGAATGCAAATTACACAAAAACACCAAGAACAGTCACGTGATTGCTGCACTCTATGACTATACTTACATTATGACAATAACAGCCATCTCTTTATGATATAATTTGACATTTACTTACCGTATACTGTATGCTACCAAATCCCGACATTTGATTACCGTATACTCTATGCTACCAAATCCGGACATTTACTTACCTTATACTCCATGCTACGAAATCCCGACTTTTAATTACCGTATACTTTATGCTACCAAATCCCGATATTTACTTACCGTATACTGTATGCTATCAAATCCTGACATTTACCTCGGGTAAAATAATGACGTCACACCACTACCAAATCCCGACATTTACTTACCGTATACTGTATGCTACCAAATCCCGATATTTACTTACCGTATACTGTATGCTACCAAATCCTGACATTTACCTCGAGTAAAATAATGACGTCACACCACTACCAAATCCCGACATTTACTTACCGTATACTGTATGCTACTAAATCCCGACATTTACTTACCGTATACTGTATGCTACCATATCCCGACATTTACTTACCGTATACTGTATGCTACCAAATCCCGACATTTAATTACCGTATACTGTATGCTACCAAATCCCGACATTTAATTACCGTATACTGTATGCTACCAAATCCCGACATTTAATTACCGTATACTGTATGCTACCATATCCCGACATTTACTTACCGTATACTGTAAGCTACCAAATCCCGATATTTACTTACCGTATACTGTAAGCTACCAAATCCCGATATTTACTTACCGTATACTGTAAGCTACCAAATCCCGATATTTACTTACCGTATACTGTAAGCTACCAAATCCCGATATTTACTTACCGTATACTGTAAGCTACCAAATCCCGATATTTACTTACCGTATACTGTAAGCTACCAAATCCCGATATTTACTTACCGTATACTGTAAGCTACTAAATCCTGACATTTACTTCGAGTATGATAACGACATTAGCCTACAGTAGACAATGACGGCCACCTCACAACCAAAGTCTGACACTTGCCTACAGTAGACAATGACGGCCACCTCACAACCAAAGTCTAACACTTGCCTACAGTAGACAATGACGGCCACCTCACAACCAAAGTCTGACACTTGCCTTCAGTAGACAATGACGGCCACCTCACAACCAAAGTCTAACACTTGCCTACAGTAGACAATGACGGTCACCTCACAACCAAAGTCTGACACTTGCCTACAGTAGATAATGTCATCACCTCACAACCAAAGTCTAACACTTGCCTACAGTAGACAATGACGGTCACTTCTCAACCAAAGTCTAACACTTGCCTACAGTAGACAATGACGTTCACCTCACAACCAAAGTCTGACACTTGCCTACAGTAGATAATGTCATCACCTCACAACCAAAGTCTAACACTTGCCTACAGTAGACAATGACGTTCACCTCACAGCCAAAGTCTAACATTTGCCTACAGTAGACAATGATGTCACTTAACAAATAAACCCTGTTGGGTCCATTTTTGTTAACTGTGTTCTCATTTGAGAACGCAACATTACTACTTGGTTTGACCAAGATTTTCACGGCGGGTGTCGTCGATGAAGTAGAAAACGCTGACTCTTCCGGAAAGTCGGTTTTTATTTCACTGCCAAATATTTTCCTAGAGAGAGGAAATGACTGTGACCTCGCCACAAATCTAGGACATCTTCACTATGACAATGACGGTCACTACCAAACTGATATACTACTATCATTAGGACAATTACGGTCACTACCAAACTGATATATTACTATCATTAGGACAATGACCAGTCTGATATATCGTGTTACCCTATTATTGTTAATTGTATTGGAATAAGATATGGCATTAGGGACTACTCTATCTTCTATAGTAATTGTGTTGCCGTTGAAAGAAAACGACGCTGATCTCCCTTCTTTTGACACAGCAGACTCTATAAAATATTTGCTATAAAGGAAAATGAAAAGCCAGTCTTCAAAAATGTTACCAGCTGGCTGAGACCAGTTGTATTTACACAACAATATAATTGTACTGTCGCTCACTTTGAAAAGAAATCTCTAAACCCCACAAATTTGAGACATTCCTTTAAACACTTTGGGTTGGTGCATGGTATTGGACAGAATTGAAAAATCAGAAGTTATTATACAAGGGACGTTTTTTTATGATCTGACACGATTTTCATGATCTGACCTTCAAGTGGTATAAAAAATTCCCGATTCCATTAATTCCAGTTCTGGACTCTTGAAACCGTATCTCAGTACGGGTAATTCCTTAATTTGATAGTAATACAGTATCAATATATTTGATTAAAAGTTTGGTAGAATTACTAAACGACCAAACGTTTATATGATTTCTTTTAAAGATTCTGGTATATCAAGTTTTGTACCATTGCAGACGTAGCCTGATTGATGAGAAGTTCGTCTTCAGAAAGACATAATGTATATGTAGGGTTTCCTTGGCTATCGGATACGCCTTGCAGGCAGGAAATGTAATTTAGTATGGCAGACACGTTATTAGATGCCTTATCCGCCGACAAAATTAGTTGGACGTATTTTTTATCAGTTTGAATTTGGTCTTCATTTTTTTAAGATTTTAGACTCTTATTTTTTTAGAATGGATGGACCGAATAATTTAATTAATGCTATTATGGTAGATAAATGCTTTCTGCTTTTATGGTTAACTACATCCGTGACTAGCTGAATACATGGAAAGCTGTTGGTGAGTGGTATGGACAAGTATTTAATTGTTAGTAAATTATTTGTTACTATCTCAGTTAGATTGATTTTTTTTAAAAAGTAGACAAAATGATAAGTCAGCGTTAATATATTATCTCATCCTATTTTGAACAGAAATGTTAAAGTTTTTCATTGCTTATTGGTCGTAATAATATACCATAGCGTTAAGATCGTGACACCAACAGATTACTTTCTATTTTCCTGTTTAACTTTTCGAAAACAACGTTTATAGGATATGAATAAAAGTGACGAATCCCTTTCTAGTGTATTGATAACTACGTATATACAAAGTACTTCTCATTACACACGACGTGACTCAGGCCTAACTACTTGCACGTAAAGGACCCATCATAGATAACCGGATGTGACGTTAATATATACCAGATCTAAGTAATCGGAACAGGTGAAGCTTTTTACGCTGAAAAATAAATATATCGACACTGTTTGTTAACTGATAAACTGGCAAGTTCAAATTTCGATAAAAAGAAGAATGTCTGTTGAATTTCTGTTCACAATAGCTTCGGGCGCTGATCTGGATATACATATCATTGTTTCCTTATACAGTGTCAGTGTTATTATCATTTTCTAAATAACATTGATTAACATCAGAGCCGTCCTTTTGTATTTCGACCGTTAATCCTGTTTTGAATGTGATAAGCAAATATTTCAGAAAATAATTCCGATGAATTTTGTCATCACTGCAACAATACACTGATACTTATTGATTGACATGTTCAGTGTAACTTTGGTACCGCGAGACGTATCTGTGACGTCAGTATAAGCCAGAGGATAGCATTCTATCATGTGGTATTTCCAGTAATGATTATTGTTGTCATAAAGCATCAATGGAAACAATCTTAAAGTAATGAAAAGAAAATCTGTAAACATCCAGGGAGTTTGGAAAGGTGTAGATAGTCGAGTCGGTATCGCTCTGACATATTGTCAGCCTTTTAAAATATTGATCGACTTCACTCTAGGTCGCCTCAAAGTCTGAAATGGTATGATATTGATAAAATCACACTTAAAGTCAATGGTTTTTAATGTATTATTGTTCTCCTTAAATATAATAAAAAACCAGATTATGGATTAATGAAATATTTTACCCCGCCCACTTGGGGAGAGGTGAGTTAGTGAAATTTCCGCCAGTGGATCACTCTCGACATGACCGTCTCGTCCTCACTTCCACTTTCCTAGAAGTGAGTGTTTTTATTTGTTTTTCGTCCACGACTAGAATTTATTTCGAAAAACTTATCTTCGTTATCTGACAGATTGCATGGTCATTACAATGATTATGTTTTATAGAATAAAAAAAATTAATTTACCTGGGTAGATATTATTTAACTTCAATAATACTTCCGAGTCGAAAATGACTTAAACTTCGTTAACTAACCAGCTAAACCTGGTTTATTCGTTCAGCCGTTAGGGAAGACGACAGTGTAGGACTACTCATTACTCACAGTAACGTTGTTACATTCAACTGTCGGCCTGGGATGAATTTGATTAACGGAAGCTTACTATCATCCAACCCATTCAATTCCCCGAATGGTTACCTAACGATCTACCATAAACCGTTCTAAATTCTCTAATTGAATACATCCTGATCAATCGAACTGGTCTGTTTGGCCGCAGAATATAATCCATCTTCTGTCGTACACTGATCTGGAAGAGTCTGCGAGAAACTAATACGATAAGGTAAGGAAGTTGGGGAAAGTATAGCACAGATAACGATATCTAGTGTAACATAACCCTAGGGGAGATTAACATGGTACACACGGAAAATGGTAGCCGTATTTTGAGTTCTTTGAAATTATTGACAAAAATGAATAAGGTTATCTCTGGATGGTGCCTGGTGTGACCAATTATTTATTTTGGTTAATTCTGAACACTGTGTCCCCGAAACTCGGTTACTGCTAAACGCGGTTAACAATGCACACAGTTTTTCGGTGCCTGGTTAAATTACTGACTAACGCGGTTAACACTACAAACAGTTTCTCGAAGCCTGGTTAAATTACTGACTAACGTGGTTAACCATGCAGACAATTTCTCAAAGCCTGGTTAAATTACTTAATGTGGTTAAATCCTAACACATTTTATTGAAGCATCGTTATATCACCAAACTATGCGGTTAATTTTAAGAGCGTTTTGAAGCCTCATTAAATCATCAACTAACGCGGTTAAGTTAAACAGTTTATTGAAGCCTCGTTAAACCACTAACTTATGCGGTTAAGTTAAACAGTTTATTGAAGCATCATTAAATCATTAACTAACGCGGTTAAGTTAAACAGTTTATTGAAGCCCCGTTTCATCGCTAACGTAAGTGTAACATAGTGTCTTGAAGCCGCGTTAAATTAATAACTCGTGCGGTTAAGTTTAATACAGTTTCTTTCAGCCTCATTAAATCACTAACTAATGCGGTTAGGTTTAACACGGTTTATTGAAAGATGGTTAGACTACTGACTAACGCGGTTAAGTTTAACACAGTTAATTGAAGCCTCATTGAATCCCGTACTAATGTGGTTAAGTTTAACACAGTTTATTGAAAGCTGGTCAGATAACTGACTAACGTTATTAACTCTACAAAGAGTTTTTTTGAATTACCTGAAGCCACGTCAGATTACAAACTAATGTGGCCAACTCTGAACAGTTTCTGGAGCCTCGTGCGATTACAGACTAACGTGGTTAATTCTTAACACAGTTTCTTGAGTCTCTTGAAGCCTCGTGAGATAACTGACTAACGTGGTTAATTCTTAACACAGTTTCTTGAGTCTCTTGAAGCCTCGTGAGATAACTGACTAACGTGGTTAATTCTTAACACAGTTTCTTGAGTCTCTTGAAGCCTCGTGAGATAACTGACTAACGTGGTTAATTCTTAACACAGTTTCTTGAGTCTCTTGAAGTCTCGTTGGATGACTGGCTAACATGGTTAACTCTATACCTAGTTTCTGGAACCCTGGTTAGAATAATGACTAACACGGTTGACTCTGAATACTATATCTTAGATAACTGACTAACATGGTTAACTCTACACCTAGGTTCTGGAACCCTGGTTGGAATAATGACTAACACGGTTGACTCTGAATACGATATCTTAGATAACTGACTAACATGGTTAACTCTACACCTAGGTTCTGGAACCCTGGTTAGAATAATGACTAACACGGTTGACTCTGAATACGATATCTTAGATAACTGACTAACATGGTTAACTCTACACCTAGTTTCTGGAACCCTGGTTGGATTAATGACTAACACTAACGGGATAATTTCTGGATGCTTTAATTAAAGTCTTGTTAAAATGTTGACAGTATAGGTGTTAAATCTACCGAAACTGAAATTCACAAAATTGAAAAAGTGAATATTTGAAAGCAAAAGTATGAATACAATAGCAACAAAAACACTGCTGTTCTTTGTCAAGCACTAGACGACCCTTGTATGGCTTAGTTGAGTAGTACAAATAAAACATTGATATATAGCTAGCGGATGTGAACTTACAGTGCACGACGAATACGTGAACGAGGCTATATGTTTACAGTTGGAACCAGCGATAGAAGGTGGAAATGATAAGCAGAGCTTTATCCATCTAAAGTGTTGATATACCACTTCACATAGCAAACTGCACTATGTGTAAGCGGAGAACCGCGTTGTAGCATATAGTTATTGTACACATATGTTAGATGTATTTGTAGGAAGAGTCGATCATATGGTAAACACAGAATGACAACATCAACGGTTATAACGTGCAGTCAACATACAGCCCCACCCCTATAAACATCTACTCACAGGAGCGTGAATCACTAAAGCCCCTCCTTGGGGCACGAGTTGAGTTCCTCGGTTGGGTTACTCCGTACTTCCAGCTTCTCTGGTGTAGCAGATGATCGCTTGGTCATACTTGGTCAGAATACATAAACACTGCCGAAACCGTGCTTCTGAGGCTGAGCTGGTGTTGGAGCGCAGGAGAGACACCTCGACATACGGGCAACCGATCAATACATGTCCACATTTATATGCGTGTGTTGTATATATGATTGGCTTTGTCACAAGTTAACTTGACATCGGCTGTACAGGGTGCGTTGTATGCACTGCAGCATACGTCTCAAGTGAAATATATATGTACGGTGTATATATGGCGTTGTCACACGTGTTTGTGAAGCAGTGTCTACAAGAGAAGCACGGAAGTTTTAATATAAAATAAAAAAGAAAACTTCATCTGCACAAGAAACAACCCGATACACGTGACTAGAGTAATGAGCAGGAACGACATCAGATGCGCTGTTTAGATAACGCACCTTTTCCTGTCCATAGCATCGTTAGTTCGAACAAAGATTGTAAAGCAATGTTTATTGTTATTTTACTCATTTTGACAATCTACTACATGCTGCAAATATGCTAAACTCTTTCTAGAAACATCGATTTGCCTGTTCTCTATATCTCGATTTAGACATCCGATCTCGAGAGATTCAGGCCGGTGAAGGCTGTGTGAAAATTTTTTCATTTGTCACCATGGTCTCGCGGAAAATGTTCCTTGTGTAATATAAAGTTATATGTTTTCAATGTGCCTGGTGGGTCCGTTGTTGTTAACCTTATTCTCATTTGAGAACGTGACATTACTTACGTGGATGAACTGAAAGTTGTATATGACAGGTGCCTTTAATGACGACGCTTACCCTTCTGGAACACCTAGTCTTTTTCTCCCTTGTACTTTTTTTTTTAAGGATTTCTGACTTCATTTGCATTTGTTCATGCTTTAGTTACATTGAATTTAAATTTGAGTTGAGATTTTCCCCGTTGTTGTTATACCACAAACTCGCGTGTTTAAAGCAATCAAGTGTAATCTGTTTATAGAAAGGTATTGCTGAACTCAGTCAGTGATTTATGGAGTGAAAGCAAAATAAACGGTTGGTCTTTATGTGAAATAAAACACTCTCTGACAGCGATCGCGATATGATCAAATTCAGCTGTTGTTAGGTTCGTATATCATGAGTGTATTTTCCCAGAATCCAGAGTTAAACATAGCAAAGAAGGTAGGTCTTTTTAAGTGTTTTTTTCCAGGAAGACACTTCCAGGTCAGCTGTATTTGTGTGGGCTCTTCGAAAATTTGCAGGTCAGAGGAGTTTGTGTGTGTTTGAAACAAAATTAAGATATATCGCAATCTTTTCCTGGTCTATTTTAACAGCAGACGGCATAAACAAATATTTATAACAATCCCAGTAAAACAACTCTAAGATGCACAAGTATTGTTAACTATTTATCTATTTGGTAAACAGAAAGTAGTCTTCAAATAAATTATCTGCTCTTAAAAATGACAAAAAGTTTTGATCAAAGTCCACTACTGATTACTGTGTTTTCCTACGAGTTAAGCTGACCAAGAAGTGCATATATATATCGTAGATAAAGACGTTGTAGTTTCCTTTGGGGGGAAATCGATACGATCTTTCACCAGTAGAGTTTCAAATTGACCATTCAGGTGAACTCTAAGTGGTTATTTTTACCGTGAGCAGATACACGTTTGGAAATCAATCTGTTTCGTGTCGAGAATGTACATGTTGGTAGATATCTTTTGCCCAGTTTATAAGTAACAGGGTGCCTAGGCAATATTGATTTATATACCATTTGTTATTGAAAATGTTAGTTAATACAGATAGGTAGTGTCAAGTATGCAGTTCAAATACCCAGAGGAGTCCCATATTTAAGTGTTATTCCTAGTATTGAATCACCTCTATCAACGTTGTCTTCGTGTGAACGTACGATTCACATGTTTTAATCGTTGATTTTGAAATACCACGAACACGGTTAATACGTCATTGAAATTTCCATCAAAGGCTTTCTTACTTTTCATTGGTAATTGGCCATCGTGAATAATAATAAACTTCAGATTTTTTTTATCTATAAAATGCTTCTTTTATGAGTTGATACTGTTCTGTGTATTTGTTGATGTATTTGTACAGTAAGCGTGAAAACATTCCAACTTTTTGTTACATTATATAGACTAATGATGTGACGGATATTGACTGATCCTTGACATATAGAGATTCTAAAACTTTACAATATTTAAATATAACTTGATTAAGTACCGTAAAGTGCTGAATATATAATTTGTTTCTATCGGAATCTAGTTGTTAGAATACTCAGTTTCCTTAACTTGATCCGTTAGATGCGAAAGGAATGTGTTTCACGATCAAAGCATTCAAGAGTTAATTCCCTTCGTATATTTGATGTGCTAATAACGGTACACTTAAGGGTACAATGTATAATGTCAAATTCTATCATTAAGATGGTATAAAATCTGTTTGTTCAAGAGTTACTACAACCCTCTCGTTAAGGCCATATGGTCTACTATTCTACTCCTTCATGATACAAATTCCAGCAGTGAAATTTTGCCAAAACAAACGAGCACTTGACTTTAACAATCAATTATAGTCAAACTTGGATTCAGAATCAGAGTGTCTGATAATGTTACAGATATGATCGTTTGCTTCCATTTAAACTTAATGAGGTGGCTTTGCTTCCTGTAAAGGTTCAAAAATGAAAGAGATTCTGCAAAACAAAACCACTATCAATATGAAGTAACAGTTAAACATGACTGATACAGTAAACGCGTTGACAATGTAGACATAGAAATGACCATGGTTCGGCGTCAAAGTGACTGTCCCACTTAGCGAATTAAAGTGTAAATGGTGAATAATTGACATGAGACAGTGACATGCGTGAGGGATGTAAATATATATAATAAGACATACTATATCGTTTGGAGCAAAGTTCTGCCGTTTATAACGAGCATAAATGCCACAAAAAGACAGCTAAATACTTTTCGTTTTCATCATAGGTGCTTATCATTTTCATCATAAGTCTTTTGTTTTAAGCAAATGAGCACAACCATGTTGTATTAGTATAATCTTGACTTGAAGCAATGTCTAACAGCACATATGATGTGGGGGGGACCCAACAAAAACTTATCGTTCATCTCGGGGATAACCCTTCGGCAGTCTCTTATGTGTAACATGGGAATCCAACGGCAGGCTCTGGTGTGTAACATAGGAAACCAACGGCAGTCTCTGGTGTGTAACATGGGAATCCAACGGCAGTCACTGGTGTGTAACATGGAAATCCATCGGCAGTCTCTGGTGTGTAACATGGGAATCCATCGGTAGTCTCTGGTGTGTAACATAGGAATCCAACGGCAGGCTCTGGTGTATAACATGGGAATCCAACGACAGGCTCTGGTGTATAACATGGGAATCCAACTGCAGGCTCTGGTGTGTAACATGGGAATCCATCGGCAGTCTCTGGTGTGTAACATAGGAATCCAACGGCAGGCTCTGGTGTGTAACGTAACATGGGAATCCAACGGCAGGCTCTGGTGTATAACATGGGAATCCAAAGGCAGGCTCTGGTGTGTAGTACGGGAATCCAACGACAGGCTCTGGTGTATAACATGGGAATCCAACGGCAGGCTCTGGTGTGTAACATGGGAATCCATCGGCAGTCTCTGGTGTGTAACATGGGAATCCAACGGCAGGCTCTGGTGTGTAACATGGGAATCCAACGGAAGGCTCTGGTGTGTAACATGGGAATTCATCGGCAGTCTCTGGTGTGTAACATGGGAATCCATCGGCAGTCTCTGTTGTGTAACATGGGAATCCAACGGCAGTCTCTGTTGTGTAACATGGGAATCCAAAGGCAGGCTATGGTGTATAACATGGGAATCCAACGGCAGGCTCTGGTGTATAACATGGGAATCCTCTGGTGTGTAACATGGGAATCCATCGGCAGGCTCTGGTGTGTAACATGGGAATCCTCTGGTGTGTAACATGGGAATCCATCGGCAGTCTCTGGTGTGTAACATGGGAATCCTCTGGTGTATAACATGGGAATCCAACGACAGGCTCTGGTGTGTAACATGGGAATCCAACGGCAGGCTCTGGTGTGTATCATGGGAATCCATCGGCAGTCTCTGGTGTATAACATGGGAATCCATCGGCAGTCTCTGGTGTATAACATGGGAATCCAACAGCAGTCTTTGGTGTGTAACATGGGAATCCAACGGCAGGCTCTGGTGTAAAAGATGGAAATCCATCGGCAGGCTCTGGTGTATAACATGGGAATCCAACGGCAAGCTCTGGTGTGTAACATGGGAATCCATCGGCAGTCTCTGGTGTATAACATGAGAATCCTCTGGTGTGTAACATGGGAATCCATCGGCAGTCTCTGGTGTATAACACGGGAATCCATCGGCAGTCTCTGGTGTATAACATGGGAATCCAACGGCAGGCTCTGGTGTGTAACAGGGGGAACCAATGACAACTTTTTGTGTGTAACAGGGGGAATCAAATGGCAATTTCTCGTTTAGAGCAGTGATAACCCAACGGTCTCGAGCGTCAAACAGGGGAACCCGAAGGAAATATCTTGCTTGCAAAAGAGAAACCCACCGGCAGTTTCTCGTCTACAACAGGGAGAACTCAACGACAACCTCTCGTTTACAGAATTGGGAATCCAATGACAGTCCCTCATGTGAAACAAATGAATCTAACGGAAATATCTGGGTTGTAACAGAGGAATCCAATGACAACCTTTCCTGTGCAAAAGGCAGCAGAAATCAATCTATCGTTTATAGCAGGTGTAACCAAAGACATTCAATCCTTCTATAGCAGAGGGAACCCAAAAACAACCTGTTGCATTTAACAGAGGGAACCCAACGACGATCTCTCGTGTGTAACAAGGTGAACCCATCATCATTTGCTCGTGTGCGAGAGGGGAACCGAATGTTAATCTTTCGTGTATAATAGGAGAATCTAACGACAATTATCATGTGTAGTAGAAAACCCAACGACAACGGGGACTCCAACAGGTAACAGGTAGAACTCAACAGTAATCCCATGTATGTAATTGGGGAACCCAAACGTCCATATTTCGTGTGCGATAGATGGAAGTCGACCTACTCCTCAAGTTAAAAAGTACATATTTGTCATAAATGAACGAGAGTCATGCTTAAAGTATCTTTATTTTACACAACAATACTAATTCTTAAATCCATACTGAATTGTTTCTCTTACTGCCGGCATGGAAACCGTTTACTTGTATTTGTCAAATACATGAAAGATCAGCAAATAGTGATTAATTGCACGAAACATTTTTTAACAGTTAATACTCTTGGAAAACCTTCACTCTGATCTTAGCTGTTAAAGTCAACACTCTCTTTTACGTTGATGTACGTTTTGGGAAGCGGAAAGTAACACTCCTTTTCAATGTAGTGTTTTATAACGGATAGTGTAGTCAATCTTATGTCTCGTGTCACAATTACACCGCATACAGTGTGACACCTCTCTGTCGATTGATGTATAGGACAGCCACGTTCCCTCGTTTCTTCTTTGCTTTTTATTCGTTCATTTATTTACGCTCTTGTTTGCTCTCGTTTACAGGATATAGAAATTATGTTATGACAAAAGTACAAAACCTAAAACAGGATATCGTTAGAGTAGTGCAAATACGTAGACAATTCTATAAATGACAGAAAGAGGAAGTCAGTGTTGTGTTGATTAGTCATGTTCCATGTTCAAAAGAACGGACATAGGGCGTGTGTTCAGCCCTAGATGTCGCAAAATAGAGAGGTATACTTGGACTTGAATAAGAGGCAGGTAGCGGTCATTGGTATTGAGATTCATGCTGCTGAATTCAAGATGGACGCCTGTAAGGACGGCTCGGCCACTGTAAGTATTGCACTTGACAATGGCGGGATCATTGTCTCTTTCCGTGAAAAATGCAAGTGGCACACAGGTTGTGTTTTGGATTGCCATCGGGGAATTAAACGTATTACCTCCGTTGTAGTGAGCTTGAAGGTTTATTCTTCCTTCTTCAACACCAGTGGTTGCGGAAACAAACCGGAAGTTGATATCTGCAGCACGTACACTATTGTAGTTGTGGTAATTGTAAGGACCGAACAGTGGTCCACTACACATGCCTGAAACAAATGACTGCCTTTATTAACTGCACAAAGACACGCAAGTGAATAGCATCTCTGAAATTTAGAATTGGATACAATAGAGATAACAAAGAATTAACTGAACCATAAAGCCACTTTGACCTTCTTGGACTTGTCGATGATGCTAAGACCTTAATTTGGAAACCTAGGAGGTAAATGAGGAAAATTGATAGAAGGAAACGTCAGAATCTATATGGTTAGATTCATGAGCCCCGTGAAAAAAATCCACCAGCAGTATCTACAATCTGCAATCACGAAGACAAAAAACACTTAAGGGAATAGCACCTTTCCGTGCAAATTTAGTATCAGATACAGTAGAGCCATATCATTGAGTAAACCTTCCCTCTATAACACCACAACCTTCCATTGATTCCTAGTTACCAATTCACCTGATTACATCTAACACGAGAATTATCCAATAAAAGGTGTGCTAAAGGAATGAGATATGGAATTAAAAATATTGGTCTGAGATATGGATAATAATCTTTCTTTGAAATGGATAACATCAATTGAAATGTATTTGATTATTTCTATAGACGTACAGGAAAAATAGTACTACTTTCTCTACTGCTTAGTTCAATTGTACAATTTCAATTTAACTTTATTAGCACATTTATGATAACAATAAGAATCAGATGGCTAAACAGGGGAAAACACCAGAGATGTTCAAGAATCCAAACCAAATGTTATTAAATACATATCATACTGTCGAACTGTCCATCCTCCTCACTTTTAACGCTTTTTTAAAATAAATGAGTTGGTCTGAAGAAACATTTTATCTGATAAAAAAACATCCGTGCAATAGCCTAGGTCACTTATTCTGCAAATCGGAGAATAGTAATTTATTCCGACACATCCTGAACTTTGAGAGAATAAATGCAATTTATCTAAAAGTAAATTACATATTATGCAAAACATAAACAAGGTCAAATATTACCTGGATAGAACTTGAGTGGGCGGTCTCCTACTACTTCATCTAGACCATCGAGGTCAAACTCAATCCTATCACAGGCGTAGTACGACCCCGCTCCCTGACCAAGGTAAGCACCGCCTTCTCTGACGTACTTTCTTATTTTCCCGGCACCTTCGTCGCCTAGGGCGTGCATGAATCCCAGATCAAAGCCACCTGGCATCACAAACAGGGCTGCATTGTCCGCCCAATCACCTGTAACACATTTCACCTTTCTGGCATACAAAAGTAGTACCTTTCAATACAAATTTGGATTAGATACGTCATGCAGCTATTTCGTCCTTCGATGCGGAAAAGCAAATTGATCTAAATAAATAACACTTCACTCCATAAGTTTCATGTCTTTTAATATTGGATGATTTCTTCAGTACATATGTATGTTCTCAACAGTTTAAACGAATTAAACGTGACATGGAGGATTGAGATTTTTTAATGATGTATCCATTAAATATACCGATGACAGTCTAGTTAATACCAACGTGTTAACATAATCTTATTTAAAACGTAAATTCAACGAAACCATAGTAAAAATGAAATTAGAAAGGAAGAATCACACAGATACGCATGAAAAGAACGCAAGGTGTTCAGGGAGGGTAAGCGCATACAAACCAGATCATTAAGCACGTCCAGCTTCATATCACAAACAGAAATTATGCATGTAAAACTTCCTCATAACTTCATCAACCTGCATCTCTCGTAACCCTGTGTTGTGAGTGTGTCTGTCACTTGCCGACATTTTTGCACTTAAATCATGATATTGGGGTCAGACCTTGGATTCCGAATCAACTGCGACGTGTAAACACCAACGGTTAGAGATGCAGGTTGTTGCTATCCAGAAATGGAAAATTTACAATAGGAAATCATTACGCTTTTCAGATAGCTGATATTCTAATGAACTTCTTTCTTTCAAACTATGGGCATAGCAATGAATTACCATGATGTGCCTTTTATTCTTATTTTCATCCAAAGCAGAATCAACTGAAGAGCTTAATGAGTTCAGTTTCCTCTTGAGAAGTTTTTTATTTCTGGAAAGCAACACTCCTGTTTCTAAGCCTAAAGTGTTCACATGTTGCAGATGATTTGCTTGACAGAGATTGGCCATTAACAAAAAAACAGATGGTATCGATATATTAATGTTGGTCAAGTTATATATGCTCAACACTCATAATTGTACCTTGTAGATTTATTTTGTTATGTGCCTGGGTCTCATTTGAGAGCATGACATTAATTATTTGTGACTTAAATTGTGATGTTGGCTCATTTATCCGGAACAATTTTATCTAGTCTTTTATTACTTTATTACCTGTACACGATTACCTACTTCATCCCGTTCTATTGAATTTGGTTTGAATTGCGTTGGCCTGTCAAGGATGTCAGTATTCTATTGTTTTCGACATCTTTATTCGATACGTCCGAATCCTAGTTTCTTGTTATCAATTTATTGTTTTCATGATTCGCTTCCGGTTTACTCTATTGTATGTACTTAAGTGTTCTTGTCTTATCGCCACCAGAAACGTGTACTTAACCATAAGCAAAAGTGGCGGTAATTAATCCACCTCGGTTGCACTAAGAAGACAATGTGTAAAATTTCACAAAACCAGATCCTGATGTGTAGGTAAGGAGAGCAACAAGCATACATTGTTTGAAAACCGTTGACAATTAAATATGAAATTGGTTTAAAATGTGATAAAATTTTTTTGTAATGTTTAATGTTTCATATTGATTTACAAAACTGTAAGGTAGATTTGACAGACATAGATAAAATATATGTGTGTTGAAAATTGAACTAACTATCAGAGACAAATTCTGAGGACGCGCATTAATGATTCGGCAATTATCACAGGAAAATGTAGCTGTGATCTGTTTTCTTTAGAAGTTTATAGCATATGAAAAAAGTGTTACAGACAATTTAAGAAGCGAAGGATTAGAGATAGGGATAAGGGCGGGGAGACTTGCCTTGTATGATTTCGTCTGCCCCGATCCGCTGTATAATGTATGAGGCATCGAGAAGATTTTCCAAGTGCTCCGCCATCCTCAACATATGTAGCTCGTCCGTACCATATCCGTCATAGACATACACGTGCCTCCTGCTCAAAGTCTGACCCAAAAGGGCCATTAGACACAGAATCTGAGGGAAGTGAATAACAATGTCACAGTATATATAAGTATATACAATAGAAATTATAAAATGGTAGAAACGTCTCTTCGTGGCTTCTTTTATTTATTGAATATTACGGTGTTCATTCATTCACTACTGAAGCGAATCATCCGATGGAAATATATTTGAAAAATAAATCTCCGGACTTATATAATTAACTGTCTTTAAAATTATAATTATAACTTAATATCTTTAGACTAATGTTATTAAAGGAAAAATCAATGTAGCTTACCAGAAATACAGCTGACTGCATGGTTGCTGGCTGGTGGAGTGTGGTTGGCAAAGGTCGGCCAGATGTTTTGTACACAGGCAAGTAAACACTTTCGGAAAATGAAGTTCAAGTAACGCTACTCATATAACAGGGATCATGTGAAACGTACAACAATAGCTATGTAATATTACGTGCCATTGGAGGTCATGTGATAAACGAATACAAGGTCATATTACTCGCACGTCTGTTCACGTGAAAGTTTCATGATTATCATCAAACATCGCTCATATAAGTGATTTCTCCTTTTGTAATAAAAGCAACATTTTGATTGGATAAATATAAGGAACCCTGAAGTCGACCAGATAAAGCAAATTGTTGCTGACAAATAGCTGATAGACAAGGCACTCACACTTCATATGATTTACTGTTCTATAGATATATCAACATATTCTCCACAAGTCAAAATCTGTGGAACGCTGGCAAAATATGGAAAAAAGATAAACACTGTAACCTATGAAAAAACAGAATAAAACTAGATGTTTTCAACGATTAAACGACTTTCCCAGCATCGACGACATTCGTCACGTCAATCCAAGAGGGTAATATCATGGTCTAAAGTGAGAACGAGGTATACATCACCCAGACCGCCAGACATACTCAAAAGCATCAAACACATGTTATTGTTGATATTATATTGTTATCAGTCCATTTAACATCCAGTGACGATCCATCACTGAAGTAAGATGTCTTATATTTCAATGCCAAACGGAGGAGACGGAAAAATTGTAAAAATATTAGATTTATGAACATCGGGTCAAAAAATCGATGTGTGTTAAGGCACAAAACATGTTGTGCAGATAGGTCAACTCGTTCTTGCCAAACTAAGATAACTGTTTGTTGGTGTCTTGACGATCAAGCAGAGAGTTGTGGAAATATTTGGTGGTTTTTTTTCGTGGGAAACTTTATCAAAGCTTTCGAAAAATACAATACACGTATACTAACTAACAAATAATGTACGCATTTTGGTATGACCCAACAACAAACTACAATGTTTATAAAACAATACATTTTCAACAACCTATTTCTGAAAATGTTTAAAAACAATGTATTCTAAAACAAAAATAGCTGTAAACAACAGAGTAACAGGTTTGTAGTTTACAACGCTGGTTGTATGGTGGCAAAAAACACTTTTTGACAGTGGTATTAACCGTTAACCTAAGATATTTTCAGATAGTATAAAATCGTTCTTTACAAATCATTAACTTATTTTATCCTTGTCAAATTTATAGCATTTGGATAACATCGTTTAGGATAGTCACTTACTCTTATATTGAAGGAAGACTTGTTTTATTTGAAAAAAATCGAACATCATCATTGTTATCATTAATACATAGAGACAACATTTGTTTAGGCCCACAGGGACGAATTTTCAATTAACGGTTTATGAATGTCACTATAATATATATATATGGACCGTTGGTTTGGAATTGGTGGCAAGTCCCTGTGGGTATGGCTATAAGCACGATATTCTTAGGTGGTAGTATAAGAATCGTCTAGTTAGGATTGTGGAGTTATCTCGCTTGAGATGCTCACAGCACGTGTAGTTTTTTCAAAGGTAGGAAAGGCATTTGGATAGATAAAATGGTAAGATTGTACAGGTGAACTGCACATCTTATGCAAATTAAGAGTTAGATAAAGTAGAGTCAAACAACGAACTGTATCATAAGACTGTTTCGGCCATCTTGAATTAGGAGAAGACTGAGGAAAATTTAAGTGATCGAAAGAAAAGTCGAAATCTAGATTGAGAGGTGCATTAGCCCCATAAAATATGTTTCGTAATTTTCATATTATATATTTATCAAAACACCGTCAAGAACGTGTGTATATTCTGAGCCGTTGTCACGATTCGAATGAATTAAAACGTGGTCTACAAATTACGCCAAACCTCGGAAACGTCCATTAACAGTGGTGTCAACATCACGCATTCTAGAAGATATATGGCATCTCGATAGCTGAAGTGGGGAAAGGGTAGTCAGGACGTGATTTGGTCGGTAACAATCATATCACAGCTAGGCACGGAAAATATGAGGTTGAAATTGCTACTAGGTATTTTGTATGGCATTGGTGCATTGTAATTGAAAAAAAAAATAAAAAAATAAAAAAAATTAACAGAATGACAGCCAGGTGTTCATTATAATTATTAATAATGTGTAGTGTAATTTGATACAAAAATATTACATGTGCTGAAATTACCGTATATATTATCATAGTACAGAATAATTAACACGGTACACTTCATTTATCACAAGCACCTTATCAAAAACTTAATGATATAATAAACAAAAAGACTGTTAATTTTCAGACAGCATTCAAATAACTCCATAAATCAAAACAATCAAATTGTGACGAATGGGTGTGTAGCCATTATCTTCCTACCAACATTCTTTGTAATATCACATCATTATGATACTGTACCCTCAACAAGTGACATTCAAGGCATGTGGATTTTAAAGAATTCTTACGAGTTCTTAACCAGTAATCTACATCCACTTCCGTTTTTTTTATGAACATTTGATTTTCCAGTCTGTACAACACCACACAATTATTTCTTAACTAAAAGAACGCATTCGTTCTGTTGTTCTGAGAACTTTCTTTTCCAGTGAACGGTGATATAAATAGATATATTTGTGAACTTTACTGGATCGTGTTTCCTGAAAAAACGTCCAAATCAAAGGGAAAATACACCGAGGACGAAATCTTTGAAATTGGGTTTCTGGTTGAAAAGGATATTGTTAAATCCATATCGCCACAAAATACAGATTATTATTCGCAAAATGCTACTTTGATAACACAGTAAGTTATGTAAGTTCACGAAAGGAACAGTACCAAAAGCCGAAGAAAAATCGAGTCAAATATATATAGTAATAATATAGTAATGTTTAAATTTACGCGGGGGAGAAGTGCCTTGGTTTTTTTCGACCAATGAAAGCGGACTATTAATTGACTCCGTATGATGTAAACCCGGAAGCCAGTTTGGCATGAAAACATATATAAATTGCAGATTAAGATAAACGTTTATCATGTAACGAGTAAGTATTAATGTTATCTGTTTCTGTAAGTGCTTTATTTATATCTATACTTATCAAGGATTTAATACTGTAGTCGGCTTATTATTCTGTTGTGCTTAAGCAAACTTTGAAGTCGCATACGGGTGTTGCCGAAGAAAACCCAAGTTAATGTTAAAAATTTTGTGTTAAAATGAAAGTCTGGATAAGTGTCCCGTGTCATTTTTAATTTTGACGTCTGCATTATACAATGACAATTTAGTCATTGGATTGGTTGATAGAGGATATTGATATTGATAACACTTATCCTGTGTACTGTTGTGTTTCAGTACAAAATAACTTCCTCTGTTTTTTCAACTTGTTGGATATACAGCGGAAACATACAATGGTAACATTTCAGGAGAGCTTAATCCATTGGCATAAGAGGATAGACTGGAGTTCGAGTGAATATTCTGACATCCAAGAATGGCCACAGCCTGTCCAAAAGCCTACACCCATATCAAAATTATTGTAAAAAAACAGAAATAAACTTATCTTATCAACTAATTGAGTGATAAACATGTATACCATGAAAACGTAATCATCAATAATTATATTGTAAGTGATTTTGAATGGTCAGTTCAAACTCCCCTTTTTAAACAGATTACTGATAAATATCAAGCTAAATATATGCATTTACATTAATTCTGTAAAGTTATGTTTAAAATTACAACTTCTTTTACAGTATACTTCACTGGTTTCTCTTATAAGGTAGAGCACTTGTATAATTATGTTAAAACAAGGAAATTTACATTGAAATCACAGTTAAATTCACTTGCACAACAGTTTATACATGAAATCAGGCAAAATCAATTTCAACCTGAAGAAGCCCGACAGTAAGGGCAAAATTAGTAAACAGATCACCAATTAAAATGTTAAAGAACCTGCCGCCAGCCTCTTGAGATTGATTTTGCCTGATTTTGCGTACCCTCAGGTATCATGGTGAAAGGCAAAGGACCTTTTTATTCACCATTTAATGTAATTTTAGTGTTGGCTCTATTGTAGATATGTTATAGAATTATCTTTTAAATGAACCTGTTTATCTTAGTGTTTTTCATTTTTGCTAGGTCTCCCGAGACAATCTCAGGGTGACCTATTGTGATACTCTTTTCTTGGGCTTCATAAACTTTTTACATTTTCAACTTCTCCTGGATAACTGCTGAACCAGTTTCAATGAAATTTTACAAAACCTTTCATGGCTTAAGGCACACCAAATTTGTAAATTATATGGTCCCAAAGGGCCTTAAATTTATTGAAACTTTAAATATTGTCTTCTCAAATCCCAGATATGGTAGAAATAAATACTCTTTTGGATAGAAAAGTCTACAGGTGCTTTCCCAAAAGTGTAAATTTCATGACCCAAGGGTCTCAGATTTGCCCCTTGGGAGGGGGTAAAGTTGACTTTCGTCTATATAAGAAAATTACATTTTTGAACATAATTTGTATATTTTCTATTGGGAATAGTTCAGACTTGGCTAGAAGTATGGGTATAAGCTGTCAGTTTGATGAGAAGTATATCTTGACCTCGACTGATCTCCTGGGGTTGATGGATGGGACTAAAAATGGGTCAAATTGGCTGAAATTTCAAAAATTTTCTTTGCAATAACTTTATAAAGTAGAACCAAATAATCTTTATGGATGGAACCGTCTTACATATAGTACTTTACCATAATTATAAATTTCACAACCGCAGGATCTCGCATTTCCCCATGGGGAAGAGGTCAAAGTTTACTATAGTTTATGAAGGAAAGAACATTTTTCTGCATGATTTGTTTATTTTCGTTTAGAAATAGTTCTTACTTGGTTAGAACTATTAGTATAAGATGACAGTTCGATGACATGCACATATTGACCATGGCTGTACCACCCAGGGGCTGGTGGGTTGGATAAAAATGGGTTGAAATTGACCATTCTACTGTTCATGGATCGAAGATTTTGTATTGTAAAATTCAATCTTGGAGTTTAATTTCTTTTAAATCAAACTTGTTTAGAAGTCTAAACATAGGACAGCAGTTAATGTTATGCATATTTTACATTTACATTATGTATATACTGTAGTTAAAAATATCTTAATTGTTTTTACAAAATCTTTTCTATGACATGCTGAGAGAATCATTGTAACTCGGGTGATAGTTAAGGCCCTTGGGTCTCTGATTTTATTTTGTGTATATGTTTGTATATAACATGCAGAGTTTTTATACGAGATAATGATCTAACAGGAAATTTATTACTGTGGTTGTGTAATGGTTCTTTCATGTATAGGAAACGTGCACTTCAGCCTTCAACTCATATATATAAGTGTATTGGCTTTGTGAAAGAAAAATGAGTCATATCAATTGATAGAATTAAAAAAAAAGGTTATGAATATTTAAAGAATGAGGTTAAAGTAGATAATTAATGGACGCAGCCAAAGACGAATCCATGTCAGAAGTATTGAAAGTATTATAAAGATGAATTGTAATATTGGGGCTAATTTGTCTTCTTTAAGTAAATGAATATATCCCTTCTTGCATAGCAGTCTTAACAAATGTTGAATTCAACATTACAAGCCTTATATATTTCCATTTTATCTCTGCATGAAAACTTCGACATCTGTAACAGTGCTTATATTTTTATCATCACTACATAGCCAACAGAATCGTATGGAATCTGATTCTGAAGACAAAAGATCATACTCCTGGTCATTCATGTTAATACATCAATATCCTTGACAGAATTTCTTTGGGCATTACTGGCATTCCATTATTCCAGTAGATTTTGCTTCTGATAACTTTTCACAATTTTACGATGGCTTTCCCATGGGACTATAAATACTTTTTTCCAGACTTTGAATATAGATGTATGTTGATTTTCTAACATTTTAACTTTTAAACAGAACGGCATTGTGAGCGCTGTCAAGTTTTGTTTAAATATTTTTTGTAGGATGTGTTACAGTATTTTCCCATGTATTTTGAACCTGGGGTTATAATGTGATCTTGACAATGTAGTACCTTGTAATCTTCCTATAATCTGTTGTTTCTGATGTGTGTACTGCAGTGTTTCAGAGAAAACTGTTACCGTTTTGAAAAACAGTTTTCACAGTTAGTTGGTGATGGATTTAAATACTATGAGTTTATATATCTAATAATGTGAGTACAGTCCAATTCTCTTCAAAATGATATTGTTAAACTTTTATACCTGTCGCTCAGTCAGAGGGAGGGGTATCATTTTGTTGGTGTGTCCATTTGTGCATGCATGAGTGCAAAGCTTGTGTACAAGGTGTTTCTTAAGAATCCTGGACATATTTAGTTTTTTTATTCATAACATCACACCAGTTCTATGCTTGATTAAATTTGGTGCTGTGGTCATGCATCAGGGTTAAAGGTCAGAAGTCATGATTGACCATTTTGTAAATAAAAAGCTATCATTTTATGTAGAAGATACTTATAAATAAATGATGAAAATAAAGATAAAAGATTAGGAAGTGGGGTATATTTAGATGTTAGGCCATGCTCACTTTGTTTTCATTTTCAATTAAATTTCAGTCATTGACATAACAGCAGTAAAATTTTGAGGTTAGAGTTAACAATGCTTTGCATGATAACAGTTATCAGATTACCTTTTTGTTAAATTATAAATGTGCTAATTTGGGTGCATTTTTCTAACTCCAGCTTGTGATTGTTTCACCTGTGATGTTATTTGAACTGTTTACATGTACTGATGTTATCTATGTACAGGGACAGTGACTCGGTGTGACTAAATACTGAGATCAGTATTGTAATCAGAAGTTAACCTTTGTCTGACCAACCATTGTTGGTTGGAGTGATTATATTAGCAATAACTGTAATCTCATTCTATTAACAATCATATAAGATATTAAAAATTACTCATATATTTTATCTTACAGACGAGAGATAATAAATAATTTGGTGACAAGCTTGTGTACATTGTGATATAACAGGTTTGTTTACCTGTATATGTGATACATGTACAATCTACATTTCCACCTGGTAATTATAATAGTAGACTCCATCATTATTTGTTACTTTATCATATACACTGTGATTAGTTACCTGTGTTGTAGTTTTATTAAGATATTGAATTCTGTCACCCTTAGATCTCCTGGAGAGGAGATCAAATTTGATTCACTGCAGTTCGTATAGGGAAAAATGTTTTAAGTGTATTTGTTCATTTTCTGTTGAATTTTTGATTTTCATGATTATTTTCACATTATTTCACACCTATATGTCAGAACCTGTTGACTGTTGTTCTGAGAACTGCATCCTTTTACTTACTGAATGTTTATAGGTTCAAAAATTGACAATGGCAGTTAATCCAAGGGAGATAAGTACCATATGACTATCAATGTACAATATAAGAAAGCGATATAAGATAGCTGTATATATGAAGATATACCCCATGTTACCAATGAAATGCATTAATCATGATCATTGAAACATTAAATACTTGCTGTTCATATTAAAGCACATATGATGGAGTTGTGCTTATGAAGTTCTCTGATTACATGTATGTTGAATACTTAAATCATTCTGGTGTACTTGTATTCATCCTTTCAATCTATTGTCAGTAGTGGTATTATGTACATAAGTACAAGTACATAGAAGATTGGAGATGGTGATTAAAGAATCAGAAACCTGTTAATTCTCTGTACAGAATCAGAAATGTTACAAAGGTAAATGATCATACTTGCTTTGTTGACAGGGTGTGACCAGTTTGTGACGGGAAGATGATGGATGGAGATGGAAACGGACGTACATTAGCTACCTGGTTGGAAAGTCTTGATCTTTTACAGTACGTTCAGAATTTTATTGACGTTGGTATTTATAAGCTAGAGGACTGTGTGACCTTGGATAGTGATTTCCTCAATGACATTGGCATCAACTTACTTGGTCACAGGAAGCGAATCCTAGAACACCTACCACTGATTAACATTGATAGATATCATGAGGAGCGCAACAGGGCCAAGTCTGTACGAACATTACCACCGAATCAAGATTCTCATTTCACTTACCCATCACCTAGTAAGGGGGAAGTAACTGCTGAGATTGTTCTACCAAAGAGAAGTAAGAGTGAAAAGAAGAACAATAATATGTCACATATGTACCCAGTGGTGCAGAAAGACTTACCTCCTATATCCCCGACCACACCAACAGATCCCCCCCAGAGGTGTTCTCCTCAAAATATAGCACTCCCCATACGTGTTAAAAGTCCACCACCAATTGCAACCATGGCAACAGAAAAACATACTGCTGTGACCCCTCCTGTTCCTGTCAAACGAGGAGAAGTTCCGGTTCTCTTGCAGGAGACGGACAAACCAAAGGCAAAACCTGTGCCAAAACCTCGCAAAACTTTACAGAGTAAACAAAAAATGTCCACATCAGCATCAGCGCTGCCGTCACAGTCAGAACACTCCAGACCAGGTCTGACACGGCAGTCTGTGTCTATATCAGGTATGACCATAGAGGAATCCTCTGACTTCTCTGCAGATTCCTCATCAAAATCAACTTCCGTGGACTCCTCCTCATATCAGTCTGGAGAAGGAAGTTGTTTGCCAATGCCAACAAGTCCTCTGGATCCAGATTTAAGTTTTGTGCCTGGGACATCATGTGATCCTGATAGAAGAACCATGAGTGAAGTTTATGTAAATGTTGACATTTCTAGTGAAAATTCTGACAGGATCAACGATCCAGCAACAGATGACCACACTGTCAATACTGTTAACAATGGCAACAGCACAGGCAATGCATATGTAAACATGGATGTCTCTAAGAAGGAGACTAGTATATACGAACCTATTTGGTTTGGAAAAAGAGAACCAAGCACAACTGGATGTACTACCACTGCTTCCACACCTGGTTTTTTACCTGTATCTTGTTCAGGCAGTGATTTTAAATCAACTCCACATATTGACAGCATTGTCCCTCTGCCTGGAACAGATGTTTTTGGACATTCCACAAGTTTGAGCACCCTAGGTTCAAAATCTGCTGTGAACTCTAACACCTTTGAGTCATTTGAGGCTACAAATGATAGTGAATATGCTAATGTGGAACCCCCCACTCCACCTAAGACCAGCACTATCACATCAAATACTGTTTCCCCATTGTCTGAGTTGGATCTAGACTTCTTTACTAAAGATACACCTCCAGCATGTTCATCAAGCACTCCAAATGTGGCTGGAACCTTAAGATCTGGGAATTTGACAAACACTCAATTAAACGTCAGTAGCAACAGCGCAGGATCACCAGATGCCTCCTTTGAATTGCCACCTCCAGATTTTCCTCCCCCACCCCTGCCACCACCCCCTCCTCCATCAGACAATATGGCTGTCTTTGATCCTCTCGTGTCACAGCCTACAGTCCCTCCTGAAATTGCAATGCCCCCTGTTCCACCACGAGTGACAACAACCTCTGGAAGTTCTGGGTATGTCAATGTAGTCCCTGGCCTTGCTGCACCTACTAGTAACTCAGAGCAATCTGTTCAGTCCCCATGGCCTGCCATCCAGAATGATCTACCAGCAGAACTTTACTTCACACCAAATAAGGGGAAACCATTTTCCTCTCAGATCCACATGAATGAATCCTCAGACTATTGTTTTGCTAATTATATTACAAAAACACCAGAGAAACCTAAGCTTCAAGAGATGAAACTGCCTTCCCTGTCCACCCCAGGGCCAGACCCTTTCAAAGATGATGACCCATTCTCTGAGTTTGGAGCAGAATGTGCCAAGTTCAACCAGGGTAGTGATGACTTCAGCATGAATGCTAACACAGTGTCAACCAAGGCAGACAACTCCTTCGGTGTCTACGAATTTGCTCAAGAAGATGATTCTAATGACTTTGATCCATTTGGTTTGAAAAACAATAATCATGCACCAGGTGGTGCCACAGAATGGTCAAGCTCGAAAGTTCCATGTACACTTAATGATACTCCGCCTCCTCCCCATTGGGACAAAACTCTTGATGACCCTGGCAAAGTGTATTCCATGGCCTTTGGTTATAGTGAGTATATTTTTGATATTTTGTAATAACAAGGACTTCTTTTTAATTCCCGTAATTAACATTTTGACAAGATTTTTGCTGATTGTCACTATCAAATCATTCCATAACTTACATGAACTGTTTTGTGTGTAGACTTTCCCTTAAATATTATTATTTAACTACAGTTGAAACTCGTTGTCTCGCAATCGCTTGAGTCGAAATTTCGTGTGAGTCAAAATGATTTTCAAGTCCCATTTTTTTTCTTTCTATATCTTTGTAATTTTAGTTCGGATGACTCAAATTTCATTGAGTCGAAATTTAGGATGAGTTGAAGCAATTTTCCAGTCCCTTCTATTGTATAGTAAGGGAAAAGTCATTTATTGTCTCGAAATTAATTTTAATACATACACAAAGTAGAAAGTCACCTGTGCGTAACACATGGCTCATTATGGCGTATCGATGGTCCATCGAACACACAACCCTTGGTCTCTGGCAATTAATAAGCAGTTTAATCATCCAATTAAAGTTTGGCTTCTTAATTAGTGTCACCATCCTATAGAAGTGACTTACCTGTAAGTTAAAAATGTAGCGTGTGTACACGAAGCATGAAAGCATTTAGCCTGATTGGATGCATCTTCAGGAACGATAAATACGAAACCGTCAAACCAGTGAGAACTTTTTGACAAAATCTGATCACCATAATTCAGAGAGAAACAAATCTTAAGCTTTTTCCCTGAAGGACTGTGATCAGGAACTCCAGATTTAGTGTTTGGACATTGAAGGGCGGAAAGTATTTTTCATTCATAGGGTCTGTATCTGTGCATTCAAAGTCTAGCGCTTGTACAATGTTTTCTTTAACAGGTAAAAACTTTCTATCGCTGCGTTTTTCATGTGTTTATCTATTTGTAATAAAGTCGTATTGATATGATCTGTAGTTTTACATAAATAAATCGTTGCTTGTAGCGTATAAAAAGCAAGTTCCAATTTCGTTTTATTGTCGTACCGTAAAATAGATTATGTAAATGTGCTTGGTCAGTAAGGGTATCATACACGTGGGGGATGAAAGGACATGAATACAAATGCATTAGATTAGAGTTGTTTTGTTTCCATGTTTGGATGAATAAACAATAAAAGGAGAAAGTAGAATTTAAATTTATTTATTTACTGCCACTTCGAAAAACATCAGGAAACATATTGTCAACTTTATTTCTACGCTTCGTTTGATTCAAAATTAGATAAGTCAAAATATTTTCCAATGGTCCCTTGAATTTCGAGACAACTGTATGTTAGACATGTTTGTGAAAACTAATATTTACCCACTTCCTCATTTCAAGATGTACAACCAAGACATTTATGAAATTCTTTTTCATGAGCATGCAGTTTGTGAATGTTTATTTCCATATGAATGGCAGCTACAGTGCCTCAATAAACCTGCACCATATGTGTTCACACAAATGTGGAATTCTATACTGTTACTCAAGTTATCAGTTATTCAGTAACAATATTAAAATCTAAATTTGTATCCAGGAAGACAAAATCATGGAAGAAAAGTACATGTGTATCCATATTTGCACCATTATAAAAATTCAGATAGAAGAAACAGTTATGGACTTCATTTTATGATATATATGATTACAACAGTTGTGAAACAAGGTATGATTCAAAGATATAATCAGTCTATGATTGGAACACACAGGGGGTCTTTATTACTGTTGGAGAAAACCCAAATGGTACAGGTTGAGCTACTGACTTTAAACGTTCTCATGCCTGATCAGGAAATCAAACCCCAGTCGAGCCATGCACCATATGACCCAACAGAAGATATGCATCCATGTCCATATTTACATGTGTATATTTATATATAAATGTTATGGAGTGATAAAGAATGTACATTGTTTTTAGGGATATTTGTACCACTTGATAGCCTGAAGTTTCCCTGGTCAAATTTCCATTCAGAGATTTGTTGTTTGGTGGTCTGATTCATATTTTAAGTCTCTGTGGTACTTTTGTATGCTCCCTGAAAGTTTTAGGGGAAGCATATTAGTTGCTGCTTTTTCTGTCCCTCTTTCACGCCGTCCTTCTGTATTCAGAGCATAACTTTGCTCTCGGTTAAGCAAGGATAATGAGACATGGTGTATACTTTAATCGTATTGCAGCAATGTGCTTTATACCAAATTCAAAGTCTGTAACCCCCTCAGTTACAGATATATTGCCCTTAAATAAAATTTTGTGTTTAAAGCATAATTTTGCCTGCATTTAAACTGTGATGTATACAGTGCCAAATTCAGAGCCTGTGATTCCTGAATTACAGAGTTATTGGCCTTTGCTAAAAGTTTGTGCCTGGAGCACAAATTTAATTTGCTTGGATTATAAAGTGTAATATTTACATTGGTCATACCAAAGCATTGTGCAGTGTATGTCGGGGTCTTCAACTCCACAGTTACCAGGGATTGCCCTTTGTTAAAATTTTGTGTCTGGACTATAACTTTGCCTGTATTAAAACTAGAATACTGAAACTTTGTGGTTAAAATGGACATACTAAGAAGATGTACTGGGTATCAAATTCAATTCCTGAAACCCCCTAGTTACAGAATCAGTGCCCTTTGTTGAAATCCTCTTGTTTTCAAAATTATATTCATTTGAAATATATATCGAAATCACAAACAGTATGAAATTGATGTGTGAAGTTTTGATTGTTACACACTCTCCTTCATCAGACAGATGACCAGTATAGATTAGCTTATTAGCCCTGATGTTTAATAATTTCAAACTGAAAATATTTTGTTTGTTACATAACTCTGCCTATCAAAGGAAATAAATAAGCATTTTCAACTGGGAAAACTTCTAAAAAATCATTACAAGCTGGTGATAAGGTCATTAATACTTTTACAGTCAAAACTGTGGTACATCTGAACACATGGACTATCAATTGCAAGCGTTTAAGTGATAAGGATGAAGCATCTTTCTGATTATGATTGCCAATTTAATCAGTTGACTATGTCCAGGATGGCTGTTTCTGTAAAAAAAATAGTCTCACATTTTTACATGATGTATATATGATTATTCAGGTAAGAAAATAGTTGTTATATGGGAAACAATTCAAACAGTTGGGAGTGCCAACACCCTAGGTAAATAGTTTTGACTGCTCACTGATGACTCAATTTGGAATGGTGATTTCAACAGTTTCAAATAGAATACAAAAAAGTATATTAGTACAAAAACATGGTTAATAAAAATATACTATCAGCACATAAGATTATCAATGAGTGCAGTGTAGTATGTATCCACGAACAGTAATATATTTGTTGGAAATGTTAATACATAAAAAACAACTTTTAACTTTCCGGACTACTACTATCTTCAACAGTAATGCAGAAGAGTTGACTGTTTATCCTAAATATACAAGAAACTGTCTAAAAGTATATCCTCTGCCTATAAAACTCCATGTAACTCTACTCCTTGTAACCCTAGTGTGAGTCACAGGAAAAAAACCAATACTTTGAATAGTTTGTGCATTCACATACTTGAAAATGAAGAATTCAGTTTAAGTGACAGCTATGTACCTCAGTAAGACAAAATGTGGATATTTTTTGTGTGTAGTTAATCATTATTATTGAAATTTAGGACAATAACAAGGTTTTTCTTATATCCCCATAACAGTTGTATTGTCAGATGACAATGCAGTCACTCATAGTTTTCTGCAAATTAAAAAGATGTCAGATTGAGATATAAAAGAAATAGCAATTTTACAGTTCTTGGATTTTTTCTGAAAGAATGATAAAACTGGTTTGACAGGGTGTACCTTATTTAACCTAAGGTACCTATATATATATCCAGGTGAGGCCCAGTATGTAGGAAGTAAAATTCTGACTGTCCTCACTTTAGATACAATGTCCTGACTGAAACATAATATCGTTTTGATCAGAAAGATGGCAGAAATATTTTGAAAACTGTAGAATCTTTATTATATTTTGACAGGTTTTTGACAGCTTTATACTGTTTACTTCAATGTATAAATTATCATAGGTAATGGTAATATGGTGTATTTATGCAATTCAATAATTTCAAATATCTCACATCCACACCTGTTATCATTTTCTCTTAACTCTTCCTATTTTGGTTTCAATCTTCTTCAGTTTCCTTCCAAATTGTTCATGGAACTTGCACCTGTTCAGACTATGAACCCTCTGCTCTAACATCATCTGATGTAATTATTCAACTCTTTCAATATTTCCCACTTTCTTTGATTCTTAAATCTTTCTTGCATCCATTCACGTAAAAGCAGACAGAAATGAATTAGCGGTGAAGGGGCCCCTTTCTCAGGGTCCAGGGGCGAAGCCTTGTAGGAGGTGGGGGATCCTCCAAAAGCTGGAGTGAAATTAGAATAATTTTGGAACATTTTCTTCAGGTTGGTATATGTAATGTCAACAGAATAGAAGTTCTGATAACACAGCCAGTAGAAGATTAGAGTGTGACATTTTAATGACTACATGATCACCCACATCAGACAAATGACCAGTGTGGATTGTACTAGCAGTGATGTAGTATATGCACTATAATCGTATGTACACTAAGGTTGAAAATTGGGTGACAAGATGGTAAACAAAAATACACCAGATGGTAACCATATACTGTAGTCAATTAACCCACTCTTTGTTTAACACTTGCTCATACATGTGAGAGAGTCTGTGGCCAAACAAAACATACTTCCTGTTTTAATCCTACTTTTATATTTTGTGCATTCCCTAAACTTTTTAAGGACTGTTAAAGTCAAGATCTCTCTCTGATATAAAATCATATAAAGGTATTTGTTTAAATAAATTTTTTACCGGCCAATCTGTTCTGAATTTTTCCGACATGTTACATGTTTGTTTGACTTAAGAAAACTGACATTTTATATGCAAACAATATCCATTATCTCTTTGATGTATTCACGAACACGTATTGCTCCTAGAGAAAATGATTTCCTTTATGTAAGAATTTTTTTTTTCTTAAATTCCCTTCTGCATTTTAGTTCGGTG